CAATCGGGGAAGCATGCGAGACCTTCAGAGAGTTATCGGTTAAAGTCTCAGCACTCGTGGTGACGCTGTGGCTTGAGATGGAGATACCATTCAAGTGCCGAGTGGGATAAGTAGTGCCGGGGTATTAAGTTTCATGGCGCGGCAGCCCAGGGTAGCAGCGCCTTTCGCGCAGCAGTATCCAGCGAGCTGCAGCCCAAGGTAGCAGCTCCTGTACATCGCTGGCCGCTGCATTCCAGGCACTTTCTATTCAGAGCAAGCGACGCTCGCTGGCTGCCAAGATGGCCCTTTAGTGGTCCAAGGCGTTCAAGATCCATTCAGGATTCAGGACAGAAATTCATGGCGAACCAAGCATGTCCATCCCTCGTTCAAGTGCCGTGTGGGATAAGTCATGCTGGGATATTAAGTTGCATGGCGCGGCAACCCAGGTTAGCAGCGCCTATCACGCAGCAGTATCCAGCGAGCTGCAGCCCAAGGTAGCAGCTCATGTACATCGCTGGCCGCTGCATTCCAAGCACTTTCTATTCAGAGCAAGCGACGCCCGCTGACTGCCAAGATGGCCCTTTAGTGGTCCAAGACGCTCCAAGATCCATTCAGGATTCAGGACAGAAATTCATGCGCGAACCAAGCATGTCCATCTCTCGTTCAAGTGCCGTGTGGGATAAGGCATGCTGGGGTATTTAATTGCATGGCGCTGCGACCCAGGTTAGCAGGGCCTCTCACGCAGCAGTATCCAGCGAGCTGCAGCCCAAGGGAGCAGCTCATGTACAGCGCTGGACTGTGGTCTAGTACGACAATAACTGAAATGCTCATTGTGCTTTTTGGATCGTTCTGTTTCCTAACCCTATTTTCTGAGGCGGGGATTTTATATATCCAGCGCCTGGGGGATCGACCCTCGGGAGCCTCGGAAGGCGGTGGATCTATCTGTATCATTCGCATTCAGGAGCTGGTCGGTCGTGTCCTCCTTCCGCCTTGCCGCGTTTTCATTCAGCGCGCGTTTGGCGCAGCTCGCGGTTTGCGCGCATTTGGCGTGTCGACTGCTTCGCCGTCTGGTATCTGGTAACTGACTTGCTCCCTGGTTGCCAGAAAGTGCGGCAACAAAAATTCTAGACGCTTCGCGTATCCCCACCAGCCCGTCCAGAAATGAGCCCCAGGGGAGTAGAGGTGATGAGGGAAGCGGGGGAGTATGCAGAAGAACAACGGGCGGGGTAAGCCGCCATATACCCCAAGAGGGGGAGGATGTAGGAGGAGTCGTCGTCGTCGGAGTAGGAGGAGGAAGAGGAGGAGCAGGAGGAGGAGAAGGAGGAGGAGGGGGAGGAGGAGGAGGAGCAGGAGGAGGAGGAGGCGGAAGATGAGGAGGAGGAGATGGAGGAGGCGAGGACGAGGAGGACGAGAAGGAGGAGAAGGAAAAGGAGGGGAGGAGGAGGAGGAGGAGGAGGAGGAGGAGGATGAGGAGGAGGAGGAGGAGGAGGAGGAGGAGGAGGAGAAGGAGGAGGAGGAGGAGGAGAGGGAGGAGAGGGAGGGGGAGGAGGGAGGAGAAAGAAAAAGAGGAGGAGGAGGAGGAGGAGGACAATGGCGAGCTTGGGGGCCTCTTGGGCCGTCTTGGGGCGCCTTGGGGGTCTCTTGGGTATCTCGGGGAGCCTCTTGGGGCATCTTGGGGGTCTCTTGGGAGCCTCTTGGAGGCCTCTTGGGCGCCTCTTGGGGCCTCTTGGGGCCCTCTTGGGGCGCTCTTGGGGCGCTCTTGGGAGCTTTCGAGGCGCTCTTGGGGCCATCTTGCAGGATATCTGTCAAAGAAGGGGGGGTTCGTAAGTAGCGTCGCCCCTCTAGAGTGCCTCGAATCGCCTCTTGGGCCCCCCCAAGAGGCCAAAATCCTTCCAAAACCTAGGTTAAATCAATGTTTTGTGTTTTCTCGCCTTTTCGCTCTTGGAGCCGTCTTGGGCCGTCTTGGGAGCCTCTTTGGGCCTCTTGGAGGTCCTCTTGGGCGCCTCTTGGGGCCTCTTGGGGCGCTCTTGGGGCGCTCTTGGGGCGCTCTTGGGAGCCTTCGGGGCGCTCTTGGGGCCATCTTGGAGGAGATCGATCAAAGAAGAGGGGGTCCCCAATTAGCGTTGCCCCTCTAGAGTGCCTCGAGTCGCCTCTTGGGCCCCCCAAGAGGCCAAAATCCTTCCAAAACCTAGGTAAAATCAATGTTTTTTGCTTTCTCGCCTTTTCGCTCTTGGAGCCGTCTTGGGCCATCTTGGACTCTCTTGGGGCCTCTTGGGGGTCTCTTGGCAGCCTCTTGGAGGCTTCTTGGGGGCCTCTTGGGGTCTCTTGGGGCCCTCTTGGGGCGCTCTTGGGGCGCTCTTGGGAGCCTTCGGGGCGCTCTTGGGGCCATCTTGGAGGAGATCTATCAAAGAAGGGGGGAGCCTTAATTAGCCTCGCCCCTCTAGAGTGCCTCGGATCGCCTCTTGGGCCCCCCCGAGAGGCCCAAATCCTTCCAAAACCTAGGTAAAATCAATGTTTTGTGTTTTCTCGCCTTTTCGCTCTTGGAGCCGTCTTGGGCCATCTTGGACATCCCAACGCGTCGCGGAACGCCTCGTCCAGGTCAGTGGGGAGGGGTAAGGGGAGGGGTAAACCCCTCCCCGAAGGGAAAGAAGGAGGGTTGGCAGAGGAAACTCTCTAGACCACCTACGCCCTAAAGGGCTGGTGGGATTACAAACTGGCCCGACCAGGCTCCCGGGGGAGGGGTTTGGGGAGGGGGAAGCATCTCACACGCCGCGTGACCCCAAGTGGTCGGCGGATTTTCAGTTGAGGGTCACCAGGCGACAGCATCCCGGGGGACCCGCTCTTCGTGGGCAGATTGTTGTCCTGACGGCCGTCCCCTCCTCCGCTCCGGCGCTTCACTCCGCCCGCCTCCCCTTCCCTTGGTGACGATCAGGCCAGGCTCGGCGGTGGAAGTCGTTGCAGTAGCCTCCTCCTCCTCCTCCTCCTCCTCCCTCCCCTCCCCTTCCTTGTCGTATCCAGACCTCCGACTTCGCGATTTCTTTCAATGTGGGGTCCCCCGACGACGCCCTTCCTGGGGGACCAGTTCTGACGGCCCTGGCGCCCGAAAACCTCCCCCCCCAAAGGGCCGAGTTCGGGAGGTGTGGCCTCCAGGCGGCCTCCCCGCCGGGCGCCCCCGCCCCGGGAGGCTCTCCCGGGGCCGGGGGGTTTGCCTTGAGGTGTCCCCGTCCTCCTACTCCTCCTCTTCCTCGTCCTCGTCCTCCTCCTCCTCCTCCTCCTCCTCCTGCTCCTCCTCCTCCTCCTCCACCTCCTCCTCCTCTTCCTACTCCCCCTCCTCCTCGTCCTCCTCCTCCCCCTCCAGTTGGGCACCCCGTCGAAGCCCAGAGGGCCCCAGGGGCCTCGAGACGGGGCGAGAAGCCAGGGGCACCTCGGGCCAGGGCTCTATAGGCCTCTCAGATGGGGTCCGAGTAGATGGGGTCGGAGGATCGCGCCGCATCGCCGATGCATCGCCGATGCGGCTCGATGCGGAGCCCCATTTGCTTCACGCCGACGTCGCCGATGCGTCGCCGACGTCGCTGCCACCGAAGCCACCGTCCGCATGCGTCACGCACAACCATTTCGGCACACCCCTGACACGTTTCGTGGCCCCATAGGGAGCTCCACCGACGGCCCCAGTGTCACCGCCCGCATGAGTCACGCACACCCACTTCGGCACACTCCTCACACGTTTCGTGGCTCCATAGGGAGCTCCACCGAAGGCCCCAGTGCCACCGCCCGCATGCGTCACGCACACCAATTTCGGCACACCACTCACACGTTTCGTGGCCCCATGGGGAGCTCCACCGAAGGCCCCAGTGCCACCGCCCGCATGCGTCACGCACGCCCATTCGGGCACACCCTTCACACGTTTCGAGGCCCCACAGGGAGTTCCACCGAAGGCGCCAGTGGCTGCGTTCGCATGCGCCCACCGTGCCCATTTCGGCACACCCATCACACGTTTCGCGGCACCATAGCGAGCTCCACCGACGGCCCCAATGGCTGCGTTCGCATGCGCCCACCGCACCTATTTCGGCACACCTCTCACGCGTTTCGTGGCCCCACTGGGAATTCCACAGACAGCCCCAGTGGCTGCTTTCGCATGCGCCCACCAGACAACTCTTGGTACACCCCTCACACGTCTCCTGGCCCTACAGGGATCTCCTCCGAATGCGGCGCATACGACGACGGTGCTCACAACTGCATACGGTTGGGTCCTTCGCCAGGCTGATCTGACTTTTCTTGTTGAAATTTGTCCTCCAACATCCGCCTGTAGGAGGACATGCCCGACCGAAGGGCAGGCCCCTCCCGTGGCTCTCTCGGGCCCTCGCCCGGGCCGCCGGTCGCCTCGGCCTCGCCCTCGCTGCTCCCCCGGACCCCCTCGCGTCGTGCCGGGGCACGCGCCGCGACCGGCGGGGGGCCCGAGAGGGTGGCGGTGCGCCGGGGGGCAGACCTGGGGCGATGGGGCCGCCTCTGGCAGCACACCCGGTGGTTGGATGCTCGTCGTGGGGACCCTCTTGGGGGCCACCTGAGCGACGCAAAGCATCGAAGAGGAAAAGCGGGCATCAACATAAACTTTGGCGCTCCGCGCGGATTTCTGGGAACGACTGCTGGCATTGGCGCGCAAGCTGCCCGCGTAAAGGTCGCGCGTCAGCGCCCTCGTTCCCAATGTGGCGTGCCGCGCTGGCGGTCCGAGTAAGCCGCCGCGTGAGGTCGCTGTGTCATCTTGCGTAAGACCTGTGTTTGATCGTCGCTGACCTGGCGGACCTGTTCGGCTCCATTTCGACTCCAGTTCGACTCGTTCGGCTCTAGCTCGACTCAGGTTCGGCTCTAGCTCGACTCAGGTTCGACTCAAGTTCGACTCAACTTCGACTCGGGTCGACGGACCTTCGGCGCAATATCGGCGCACGAGTGGCGCGAGTGACTCCAGGAAGCCCCCCAGCACGAGCATCTGTCGGTGGACTCTGCGGGGCGGGGAGCTCGGGGAGGTCCTCCGCCGACCCGAACTACGTGCAGACGAAGTGGTCCTGCGCCCGGGTGGCCGCCCGCGTCCCGCGAGGTATCTGCGTTCTCCTCCTCCTTCTCCTCCTCTGCCTCCCCCTCCTCCTCCCTCCTCCTCCTCCTCCTCCTGCTCCTCCTCCACCTTCTCCCTCCTCCTCCTCCTCCCTCCTCCTCCTCCTCCTCCTCCTCCTCCTTCTCCTCCTCCACCTTCTCCCTCCTCCTCCTCCTCCTCCTTCCTTCCTCCTCCACCTCCTCCTCCTCCTACTCCTTCTCCTCCTCCTCCTCCTCCTCGTGGTCCTGCGCCCGGGTGGCCGCCCGCGCCCCACGAAGGACCTGCGTGGGCGCCCTCCGGGCCGCTTCTGCAAATCGGCCCCCCCGCGCGGGCCAGCCACAGCCGGGGGAGTTGCGGCCCTCGACCCCGCCGGGGGGGTCCATCGGCCTCGGCGCCCCTCCCAAGGGATCGTCCATACGATATACATATTTATATGTGTGTACATTCATACCTATACGACCACCCTGCGGGTGATAAGGAGGTGAGGGGGGAGGGGGAACCAACGTCTCACTCAATCGATCTCGCTATCGATCTCTCAATCGATCTCATATTCGATCTCACTATCGATATCACTATCGATCTCGCTATCGATCTCACTATCGATCTCACAATCGATCTCACAATCGATCTCACATTCGGTCTCACATTCGGTCTCACTATCGATGTCACAATCGATCTCACAATCGACGTCATCATCATCATCAACAACACCAATATCATCATCATCATCGCCATCATCACCATCATCATCATCATCACCATCATCATCATAATCATCCACATCATCATCGGGACACCGACGGGACACCGACGGGACACCAGCGGGACACCGGCGGGACACCGCGCGCCACCGGCCGCCCGGAAGAGACACATTTGGTCCGGCCGCGCCTCAGCCACAGGGACACCGACGGGACACCAGCGGGACACCGGCGGGACACCGCGCGCCACCGGCCGCCCGGAAGAGACACATTTGGTCCGGCCGCGCCTCAGCCACAGGGACACCGACGGGACACCAGCGGGACACCGGCGGGACACCGCGCGCCACCGGCCGCCCGGAAGAGACACATTTGGTCCGGCCGCGCCTCAGCCACAGGAGACTTTCCTCTCGCCCGCCCACGCAGCTTCGCCTCGCCCGCGCGCATGGCACGCACGAACACGAAACCGAAATCGATTTTCAGGTAGGGGGGCTCTCCGTTCCACTTCGATCTCACCCCCTTACCTCCGACACATGTTTATGTGTACGTGTGTGTATATATACCTATACGACCACCCTGCGGGTGATAAGTAGGTGAGGGGGGAGGGGGAACCAACGTCTCACTCAATCGATCTCGCTATCGATCTCACAATCGATCTCACATTCGATCTCACTATCGATATCACAATCGATCTCGCTATCGATCTCACTATCGATCTCACAATCGATCTCACATTCGGTCTCACATTCGGTCTCACTATCGATCTCACTATCGATCTCACAATCGATCTCACAGTCGATCTCACATTCGGTCTCACATTCGATCTCACTATCGATATCACTATTCTTCACAATCGATCTCACATTCGGTTTCACATTCGGTCTCACTATCGATCTCACAATCGATCTCATTATCGATTTTCACTCGGCAATTTTCACTCGGCACCATCATCATCATAATCATCATTACCATCATCATCTCACAATCGATCTGACTATCGATCTCACAATCGATCTCACTATCGATCTCACAATCGATCTCACATTCGGTCTCACTATCGATGGCACAATCGATCTCACAATCGACGTCATCATCATCAACAACAACACCAACATCATCATCATCATCATCATCATCATCATCATCATCATCATCATCATCATCATCATCATCATCATCATCATCATCATCATCATCATCATCATCATCATCATCATCATCATCATCATCATCATCATCATCATCATCATCGCCATCATCACCATCATCATCATCATCACCATCATCATCATCATCATCATCCACATCATCATCGGGACACCGACGGGACACCGACGGGACACCAGCGGGACACCGGCGGGACACCGCGCGCCACCGGCCGCCCGGAAGAGACTCATTTGGTCCGGCCGCGCCTCAGCCACAGGGACACCGACGGGACACCAGCGGGACACCGGCGGGACACCGCGCGCCACCGGCCGCCCGGAAGAGACACATTTGGTCCGGCCGCGCCTCAGCCACAGGGACACCGACGGGACACCAGCGGGACACCGGCGGGACACCGCGCGCCACCGGCCGCCCGGAAGAGACACATTTGGTCCGGCCGCGCCTCAGCCACAGGAGACTTTCCTCTCGCCCGCCCACGCAGCTTCGCCTCGCCCGCGCGCACGGCACGCACGAACACGAAACCGAAATCGATATCCCGGTAGGGGGGCTCTCCGTTCCACTTCGATCTCACCCCCTCACCTCCGATGTATACCTACACGACCACCCTGCGGGTGATAAGTAGGTGAGGGGGGAGGGGGAACCAACGTCTCACTCAATCGATCTCGCTATCGATCTCACAATCGATCTCACATTCGATCTCACTATCGATATCACTATCGATCTCGCTATCGATCTCACTATCGATCTCACAATCGATCTCACAATCGATCTCACATTCGGTCTCACATTCGGTCTCACTGTCGATCTCATTATTGATTTTCACTCGGCAATTTTCACTCGGCACCATTCATCATCATCATCATCATCATCATCATCATCATCATCATCATCATCATCATCATCATCAACATAATCATCATAATCATCATCTCACAATCGATCTGACTATCGATCTCACAATCGATCTCACTATCGATCTCACTATCGATCTCACATTCGGTCGCACTATCGATGCCACAATCGATCTCACAATCGACGTCATCATCATCATCAACAACAACACCAACATCATCTTCATCATCATCATCATCATCATCATCATCATCATCATCATCATCATCATCGCCATCATCACCATCATCATCATCACCATCATCATCATCATCATCATAATCATCCACATCATCATCGGGACACCGACGGGACACCGACGGGACACCAGCGGGACACCGGCGGGACACCGCGCGCCACTGGCCGCCCGGAAGAGACACATTTGGTCCGGCCGCGCCTCAGCCACAGGGACACCGACGGGACACCAGCGGGACTCTGGCGGGACACCGCGCGCCACCGGCCGCCCAGAAGAGACACATTTGGTCCAGCCGCGCCTCAGCCACAGGGACACCGACGGGACACCAGCGGGACACCGGCGGGACACCGGCGGGACACCGCGCGCCACCGGCCGCCCTGAAGAGACACATTTGGTCCAGCCGCGCCTCAGCCACAGGAGACTTTCCTCTCGCCCGCCCACGCAGCTTCGCCTCGCCCGCGCGCACGGCACTCCGAACACGAAACCGAAATCGATTTCCCGGTAGGGGGGCTCTCCGTTCCACTTCGATCTCACCCCCTCACCTCCGATATATATATATATATATATATATATACATATGTGCGCACATGCTTGTGTATATGTATTTGCATACGTACGGTATATGTGATAGTACATGTGTATGAGTGTGTGTGTATATGTAGTATATGTTTATGTAGGTAGATATGCATGTATGCATATTTACACATATATGCATGGTGTACGTGTGTGTATGTGTATGTGCATGCGTAGGTGCATGCGTATATGTAGTTGCGCACATATATATATGCTTATGTTTCGGTATCTTTGTATGAACATGCAAACGTATATGTTGATGTTAATGTTTAGGTTATGCTGGTGTACATAAATGTGTATATGTGAACGCATGTGCATATGTGGAAGTGTATGTATGTGCATGTGTATATGTCCATATATATATATATATATGGTTTTTACATATGTATCCATGGCTGCACATGCACGTGCATTTATGCATTTATGTATTTGTAGTTGTGATTGTATATGTATATATACATCTGTATGCGTATGTTGTACATGCATGTTGAAGGACAGCGTGTATTTGTATATTTGTATACGTTTATGTGTATGTACATTCATGGTTGTGCATGTATCTTTTAATGTAGATGAGCATCTCTGTATATTTCTTTACACCTGCATATCAATTCATGTATACGTGTGTATATCTATATGTAAGTGACAATGTATATATATGTATGGTTATGTATATTTATATGTATATGTTTGTGTATGTGTATATCCATGTGTATATGTATACCTGCATGTGTATGGCTGTGAGCATGTATACGCACATGTATATGTATGTATTTATACACATGTATACATGCTTCCATACACATGTTTGTGTATTTGTACATATATACAACTATGTATATGCATGTGCATCTGTAGAGGTGTATGGCAATGCATGTGCATGTGTATGTATGTGTATGTAAGTATGTATGCGTACACATATATACATATATATGTATGTTTATACACATACTTATGTATTTGCGCACTTCATGTGCATGTATATGTAAGTTCATGCATCTATATATATATATGTATATGTATATGTGTCTGTATGTTTATTTGTACATGTATATGTAATTTTGTATTCATGTATATATGCATATGTTTATGTATATGCATATGCATTTGTACATGTCTATGCATATGTGTATGTGCATGTCTATGTATATGTATATGTATAGTTATATGCATATGCAACTGTTTATTTGTATGTATATGCATGTGTATATGTATATGTATAGGCATCGGTACAGGTATATGTATATGTATATGTATATGCATATGTATATGTATATGTTTATGTGTATGTCTATGTATATGTATATGTATGTACATGTATATGTTTATGCATATGTATATGCTTGTGTGTATGTATAACTGTACGCATATATATATATATACATTTATGGATATACATATATACATATATATACACATGTTTATGTATGAGTATGTGTGCATCTATGTTGTTCGTATTGTACTTGTAAGTGTTTATCAATAAGTTTTTCAGTTTGTCGATTTGTCTGTGTGTGTATACATGCAACAAATATAGATACGTACATATATATGTATGTATGTATATATACACACATATATATATGTATATATATATATATATATATATATATATGTTTCCCTCAGGTGGGGAAAAGCCACCGCTCTCTCGGGTGTGGCTGCCCCCGCCAACCCCCATTCCATGATGCCTCTGGAGGGCCTCTGGGTGCGTCCTCCCCGCAGAAGTGGCACTCGCGGTGTGGGGGACGTCGAGTGGTAGAATTTCGAGGGTTGCTTGTAGCTCATGTGAGTCCAGTGCGTGGGCATCGCTCGGACGTGTGCATTTTTTCTCGGGGACGACGGGCGAGGAGCATTTTAGGCCATCTTGCGAAAATGCATGCGCGAAGCCGAAAAGTGCACGGGGAATGGACGTCCGATCGATGACGAGGTGTGTATGGGTTTTTGCGGTCAGGTTTCGCAGCACCAGCCCGTTGTAACGAAGCTATCTTGCAACAACACCCCCTTGTCACAAAAGCACGTTCCGCAACATGATTTAATTGATGTTTTGTGTCTGGTCGCCGCCGCGTCGCCGCGGAGGTGACCCCAGCTCGAGCTTTGAAGGTTGAATGCCGCCGGTGCTCCAGGGTAGGCCGATATTGAGCGAACCACGCGATGTCAGAGACTATCGCCAGCGTCATCGCCATATGAACCTGCCGTGAACACCACGCCCAGTCAGGGTCCTGCCTGGGCCCTGGGATGGTGCAAAGAGCTTCTGGGCTTCTGGGCCTCGATGGTGTATACACCAGGATGGCCCAGGCCAGGTGTGGTGGCGGTGGTGTGCAATGAAGTGCTTTCAGCGTGATTATCCTCCTCCCGCAAGAGCGCACAGCCTCGCCCTCCGTGCGCGCCGGTGCGTGCCGCGTGACTCCTGGGGCCCACCGAACGGATCTGTTCGACACTAGTTCGACCGCAACTCGACTCAAGCTCGATTCAAGTTCGACTCAGATTCGACCCAGGTTCGACTCAAGGTCGACTCACATCGACCGACGTTCGACGCAGCTTCGACGCACGAGTGGAGCGAGTGTCTCCAGGAAGGTCCCCAGAATGAGCATCCAAGTTGGCATGTAGGCCTCCAGATGGGGTCCGAGTAGTGGGACGCGAAGGATCGCTCCGCATCGGCTCGTTGTAGATACCGTTTTGCTTCACGTCGACGTCGCCCATGCATCGCCGACTTCTACAGGTGCATCGCCGATGCATTGCCGATGTATCGTCGATGCGGCGCGATCCTCCGACCCCATCTACTCGGACCCATGTAAGAGGCCTCTACGGTAGACAGAGGGCAGCTTGTTGTTGTTGTTGTTGTTGTTGTTGTTGTTGTTGTTGTTGTTGTTGTTGTTGTTGTTGTTGTTGTTGTTGTTGTTGTTGTTGTTGTTGTTGTTGTTCCTCCTGAGCCTGAGTATGGCCAACGCCCTGAGCTGGCGCAGCCGGTGGCCAGGCAGTCGTGAGAAAGTAACCACCGCTCCCCCTCGGGGGTTGGGGTGGGATCCGGCGGCCGTGCAGACCGCGAACACGATCGGCACATGTAGTGCAGAGTTCAGTGGCAGCGATCGACGGCAGGATCGACTGAGATCTTGCGCCGCCCCTTTGGGCCTCCGGGGGCCGTCTGCCAGGCTCGGGGAGCGATGCAGTGATGCCTCGGGACGTGGCGCCCGTCCCGGGGAAGGGTTCGAGTGCGCACGTCACGATCAGATCGTGACGTCAGCGGGGGGTTGGCAGTTCTTGGCGTTGCTCGGGCCTGTTCGTTTTGTCTCGGCGAGGACCATCGAGGAGCTTCTTGGACCACCCTGTGATGAAATCAGCGCACGAGGCCGAAAAATGTACTGGGAATGGACGTCCGAGCGATGGCGAGGTGGGGGTTGGGAATGCCGCAGTGCGATGGGGCCGAGAGCTCCAAAGTCGCGATCTTCCGCGGCGCAGTGATGCCCAACTTGTTTAGGGCACCGGGTTCCAGCTGGGATGCGAGCGGGTCGTCGCCCCTTGGCTGCGGGTGCTGCTTACGGGGCCCTGGTGTGTGGTCAAGTCCCAGACCCCCGGGCCCCAGGTGCAATGAGGCCGATGAGCCGGCATGAGCAGAAACTTTCAGAGCTCCACGTGGATCTCTTTGATCGGCGCCGAGGGCTCCCTGGCGGCGCCGGAGGCGCCGCCCCTGGTGCGCCCCGCGCACCAGGGAGGGGCCCAGCACCGACCCCATAAACCCAGCAGTGTTTTCTCCCTCCTCAGGCGAGAATGCTTGGCGTGTTTGTTTCACTAGGTCGCTCGTCCACAGATCTCCGACGTCGCATTTCTCTCGTGGGTCCTCTCCTCCTCTGCGTGCAGGCCAGAGGGTTGAGAGGAGTTCAGCCGCGGCGACGGGGAGCCCAGCATCGCAATCGTGGATCGTGGATCGACGGCCCCCCGCTCCTCTCCATCGGGGGACCTCCCCTCGTGGCCAGTACAATCGTGGGCCCAGGAATCGGTGTATGCGCCTTTGGCGCACGGATCTTGGGCCCAGGATGGGCCCTGTCAGGATCAGTGCAGGTGTCTGGTAGGCATTCTCCTACGTCTCTGGACTACTTCCCCGCAACCGATTTCTAATCCCGAGCCTTTCTTTGATGGTCCAGGGAACAGAAAATGCCCCCCTGAGTCCGATAAGGGGGCAACTAACATTCTGTCGTGATTGTTCCACGACGCGAGGGGGTCTGGGGTCGGGGGGGGGGAGGGGTCGCCACGTCGGTGGCGGCGGCGGCGGCGGCGGCGGCGGCGGCGGCGGCGGCGGCGGCGGCGTCGTCGTCGTCGTCGTCGTCGTCGTCGTCGTCGTCGTCGTCGTCCGTCGTCCGTCGTCCGTTGTCGTCGTCGTCGTCGTCGTCGTCGTCGTCGTCGTCGTCGCCGTCTTCGCCGCCGCCTCCGCCGTCGCCGTCGTCGTCGTCGTCGTCCGTCGTCGTCGTCGCCGTCGTCGTCGTCGTCGTCGTCGTCGTCGTCGTCGTCGTCGTCGTCGTCGTCGTCAACGCCGCCTTCCCGGCGAGGGCGATCAGCGCCCGTCTTTGCCAGCGCATCGTATACGGCGCCAGCGCCTGCCTCTGCGTCCTCCCGTCCCCAGGTCCCCCCCGGGGGCACGAAGACAGCCGCGCCTCGCGCGGCGCGGCCCGGGCCGGAGAGCTGCCCTCTTCCAGGGGGGTCGGCGCGAGGGCGCGCAGCTACTCGGGCGCGGCGCATCGCGGAGCGCGACGCGCGAATGGAGGCCACCTTGGTGCACAGCGCCAGCGCCTGCCCGTGCCTCTACGGCCTCCTGTCCTCTTCGGCCAGCGCCGCCCCCCCCGGCGCAGAGAAGGTGGTCACGCACTTGTCCGCGGGCGCCGCCACGAGGCAGCTCGATGTGCCCGCCAGGAGCGCGAAACCCCCTGCACAGCCGCGGGGCGAGCAGTGCGCCGTGGAGGCGCGGCTTCCTCGCCGCCGCCGTCGTCCGCTGCCGCCGCCGTCGCCGCCGCCGTGTGTCGTCATCCGCTGTCGTCCGCGGTCGTCCGCCGTCGCCTCTGTCGCTGGCGGCGGCGGCGTCCTCGTCGCCGTCGTTGCAGCCGCCGCCTCCGTCGTCGAGTTGTTTCGAAGATCTAGGCTCGATGACCGAGGAGAGACTTCCGCCGACCCGACAGATGGGGTTGGATCGAAACAAAAGCCTGCCAGCGCTGCATACCGCGGGCGCCGGGCCCCAGTAATCCCGAATCCCGCTTCGCAGGGCCCCGAGCAGAACCGACAGCACATCCAAGCGACAGTCACGTAAAACACAGACTTAAACATTCCTCGTGCAGAGCAGAAGCGAGTAGCAGACATGACAATCACACATAGCACACATATTTACAAACAACATGCCGCTCAATGACGCAGTGCACATACTATTTCATATACAGAGCACATATCTGTGCACATTCAAACTGACAGACAGCATGACATGACAATGTCATTTAACCGGTCCAAGCACGCCACGGCTACTTAGATATGACAGGCGTTACGATGTCACGCTGGACCGAATAAGACGAAGCGCAGCAACGACCAACTCGAAATGACAGACGACATGGCAGACACATTCAGAAAGAACCAACAACAGGCCTCCACGTGTGGCCGCTCAATTGCTGGGACTACGATCGTCGTCGTCGTCGTCGTCGTCGTCGTCGTCGTCGTCGCAGGTGCAGGTACACAAGTGTCGAGCGGCCCGGCCGCACCTGGGACAACGTATTCTCCACCTTATCTTCACCCCCCTCCTCTCGACCCCACCCCATCCCATGATCTTAGTGGTGTTGTTGGGGCTCTGTCCTCTTCGGGCCTTCGGGGTGAGGGATCAAGGAGGGGAGGAGGAGGGAGGAGGTACGGCTAACCCATGCCCCCTCGGGGGCGCCCCCTCTTGAGCCATCGGTGGGGATAGGTTTGCTGGCTTTGGTGTTGCGTCTCTGGCTCGGGGCTCTGGCGGACTTATTTCCTGTCTCATTTCTTCGTTCGGGGGCGGGAGTGTACAACCCACCTCGTCCAACAACCTATCAGGGGCGGTTGGGTCTCCGGACCTTTCCCCTGAGGGTAGACGGGGAGGTAGGACGGCGACGCCCTTGGTCGAGGCGCACCGTCAACTGGGGGCGCACATGTCGTTCGGCGGTGGTCTCGGCCATGGTCGGGCGGGCTTGCGGTCCCTGGAGGCCTGTGTCGCTCGGCGGTGGCTTCGGCCATGGTCGGGCGGGGTGGGCACCCTAACATGACCCATCGACAGCGGAAGGTGGTCATCGGAGCCTACAGAGTAATGCTTGTGAGGAGGTCAGGCAAGGAAAGCACGCATGACGACGAGCTCCGGCTTTTCCCGGGTCGGCTTGCACATTGTGTGGCTGCGTTGCCAGTGTTCGTTTTTTACACGGCACTCTGCCAAACGGCGGGTTCCCCCGACCGTTCGGGGGCGGCTTCGTGGTGGGTTCGGCCCTCCGCATCTGCCAGGCCACCGGGTTCCCCCGAGTGGCCGCCGCCCCCGGGGCCTCTCGCAGCCGGGGCCGTGCTTGCCGGGTTTGGGCTCGTGCTTTTGGGGCGTTTCGTCGTGCGTGGAACACTTGGGGTAGGTGTGGCGTGGGCGTCTGTTTTCACCAGGCGACACCGGAAGTTGTTTTTGTGCTTCTGGGTCTTCGGCTTGGGTGGTTCCAGAAGGGGTCGGTTTGTCTAAATGAACCAAGTAGGCTCTTTGCGCCACCGCTGGTGCGGCCACCTTCTTGGGGCCGCTTTGTATTGTTTTTGAGAAATTCCACGGTGGTGTCGCAGAGTGATGCCAGAGTCGTGGTTATGGGCCCCGGGTCTCTCCTCCTGTCAGGCCCCCTGCCTCGTTTTTGCCGCCCCCCCCCTTTCCTCTCCCTTCTCCCTCTTTCCTCTTCCTCCCCCCCCTCTCCCCCCTTCCCCCTTGCCCTTCCTTCTCCCCGCCTTCCCTTCTGGGAGGCGCCAGAATTCGGGCGGGGGGCCTGACGGGTGTGCTTTCCGCGCCCTTCTTTGCGTTTCCCCACGTTGTTCATAGACTACCGACCGGTCCCGGGGGCCGCTAGCGGCTGTCAGCCGGGATGACGTGGGCGTGGCGTGGACGTGGACCAACGACATCATGGTAATATGAATTTGTCAGCGTCCCACATTTATCAGACACCGCATGCGTCGCGACATGACGCTGGCCCGAGAAACAGCCCCGCGCAGCAGCGACCAGATCGAAGTGGCATACGACATGGCAGACATCACGAGAAGAAGCCGGCGACGTATCAGCATCCCACGCTAGTCATACATTGCACTGGCTGGATAACTGGTAAGACACAAGAAGTATTCTTACACGTAGAGCGAATGTGTACATATAGAAAACAGTCTTAGAACGCATGTGACGGCAAACTATGACAAAGTGCTCGAAGCGTGTCACGATTCGTAACATCAGACGGTATGACGGCAGGATGAGGCAAAACGATGACGGATGCCATGGCGCACAACATCAGACAACGATTGTCTGTGTGATAAAACAAAATGGCAGCACAATTCTCATAAGTCATGACAGGCGTGACGACGTCACGCTGGCCCGGTAACACCAAGCGCTACAACGACCGTCGAACGACACATATCACGATAGAGCTGCATGATAGAAGCTTGTCGCACTAAACAGACACGGCAGGCGTCACGACGTCGCGCCACGCCAGACCAATGAAGAAACAGTACTCGAATAATGCTCGTGTGTGACGCACGTAGATGACATACGTTCATGACACTTGCGCAGGTAACATGAGCCGCGTACTTGTGGCACAGGTCGCATAGATACCATGTGCGGATGTCGAACGCCCACATCAGCCATTGCTACTACATGCGCACATAACATGCATGTCACATCGGTTAGTCATAATGTACGCATGTAGTAGGCGTGCGACACATACATCAACAGCGTACGTGATAAAGGAACATCAATGACACACGTAGGCGCACGGCAGAGACTTTTTGCGTCGGCGGCTAGGCAGAGGGTGACTGCGCTGGCGATGAATGGCACGAACGGGGGTACTGTTGTGCCGAAGTGTGCCGCCATGCAGGAAGAGGAGGGAAGAGGGACGCGGCCGAAGGAAAATCAGGATGTGGCGAGCGGCCCAGGGGGCAGAACCGTTCCCCGAGCGTGCGGCGTGGCCGGGCGCACGGCGGAGAAAGACAACTCGAACACATTTGAAGCAGCTGCCTGGTGGCGATTTCTCGGAGGATTCGTTGTTGCCTGTTGTTGATGGCGGTGGTCTTTGGGCGTCTTTTCCGTACTTTTTAGGCCTCCCGGGTTTCTCCCGGAGGCCCAATCAGGCGATCGCAAACATAGATCACTGGGGGCGTGGATTAGCGACGGGTCTCGTTTCCGAAATTGCGGATACCGCCGCCGAGCGAGGCGGCACCAGCCGCATTTTGGGGATGTTTGCACGGGGGGCGGCTCTGGTATCAGTTGCATTTCGCTCCGCGCAGATGTCCTGGCTTTCCCCCGATCCATGGATTTGGCGACCGCGCGACAAATCCATGGATCGCTAATCCATGTTTGCGCGCCCCCGATCCAAGGAGGACAGAAAACACCGCCGCCGCAGTCGCCAGCCGTCCCCTATCGTCTGCTGTCGTTCGCCGTCCTCCGCCGTCCGCTGCCGTCGCCGGCGGCGGCTGCGTCGTCCTCGCCGTCGCCGTGTTCGCCGCCGTCGTTTCGATCAGCGAGGCTCTATCGTCGAGGATCGTTTTTGGTTGTCGTTCTTTCATGTTTCGCCAGTGAGGCTTTGCCTAGGGGTTGCTCTTTGTTGCTGAGGAAGAACTGGAGGGCGCGAGGCGCGGTCACCCCCAGGTTCCCTGGGGTTTTCGGGTCTCGTTTCTTTGCAACTCCTTGTGGTTTCTTGGTTCCTTGGTTCCTTGGGCCTGGCTCCTTGATGCCTTGGTTCCTTGATTCCTCGGTTCTTTGGTCTTGGTTCCTTGGTTCCTTGGTTGACTGGTCTCGGTTCCTTAGGCTCGTTGGCTCCATGGTTCGTTGGTTCCTTGGTTCCTTGGACTTGGTTCCTTGATGCCTTGCTTTTTTGATTCCTTGGTTCCTCGGTCTTGGTTCCTTGATTCCTTGGTTGACTGGTCTCGGTTCCTTGGCTCCTTGGCTCCTTGGCTCCTTGGTTCCTTGGTTCCTTGATTCCTTGGTCCCTTGGTCTTGGTCCCTTGACGCCTCGCCACGCAGTGACGAGCAATGCCGAGTAATGCCAAGCGATGCCACGCAATGGCGAGAACTGACAAAAAATGCCGAGCAATGACAAGCAATGCCGAGCAATGCCACGAAAGGCCAAGCATGCCAAGCATGCCAAGCAATGCCAAACAATATGGCAAGCGATGCCAGGCGATGCGCCCATGCAACATGAATCCTTCTCCAAATTGGGGTCGCGCCGGTTTCCTTGTTTCAGTCTTCATATCTGAAGAGCAGTTATGGTTGATCCCCTCTCACGGGTGCCCATTGTGTTTTTCAATTGAAGTGCCCGCCCAGGCTATCGCACGATTTTTCTTGTCAGAGAGAGTCCTGAGCACCAAACCAGGTTGTTGGGCCCCTGGGCTACAACAACAACAACATTCACATAGGAATCGTGCTATCGTTCGAGACGTTTGCGTCCAATTTGCTCAAGTATCGCGCTCTCGCCTGCGACGTTTTCGGCATTTGTTCAAGAGTCGAACTCTCGCCCCCAGGAATCGTGCCCTAGATCCGGCCTTCGCGGATCAGAAGTAGCGATATCGCCACCAACGCTGTCGTCGTCGTTGTTGTCGTCTTCGTCGTCGTCGTTGTTGTCGTCGTTGTTGTTGTCGCCGTCGTTGTTGTCGTCGTTGTCGTCGTCGTCGTCGTCGTCGTCGTCGTCGTCGTCGTCGTCGTCGTCGCCGCCGCCGCCGCCGCCGCCGCCGCCGCCACTGTCGCCGTCGAAGGCACCGTTGCTGTCGTCGCCGCCGCCAGCGCCTTCCTCCCTGGCTCTCCCCCCCGCTTCTCCCCGACGAGCCCCCTTCCCTGCGGCCCCCACGCGCCCGGCAGCAGTGCCGCCTCCACCCCCCGGCCGCCAGGGCGAGTACTGCGGGCGGCGGCCCTGCTGCGAGGGCTCAGGTGTCTCGAGAGGAGGGGGGAAGGAGGGGAGAGCAGAGGAGGGGAGGGAGGAGGGAGGGAGGGAGGTAGGAAGGGAGGGAGGGAGGGAGGGAGGAGTGGGGGGGAGGATGCAGTGAGGCAGGAAGGGGAGGGTGAGGAGGAGGAGGAGTGAGGAGGAGGGAGGAGGAGGAGGGAGGGAGGAGGAGGGAGGAGGAGGAGAGGAGGAGGAGGAGAGGAGGAGGAGGAGGAGGAGGAGGAGGAGGGAGGAGGAGGGAGGGAGGGAGGGAGGGAGGGAGGGGAGGGAGGGGAGGGGGGTGAGTGAGTGAGGGAGCGAGGGCGGGAGGGAGGGAGGAGGAAGAGGAAGAGGAGGAGCAAGGGGACCAAGAAGAGCAGGAGGATGGGGAGGGGGAGGAGGAGAAGGAGGAGGCGGAGGAGGCGGGGGAGGAGGAGGACGAGGAGGAGGAGGAGGTGGAGGAGGCGGAGGAGGAGGTGGAGGAGGGTGGGGAGGAGGAGGAGGAGGAGGAGGAGGAGGAATACTACTAATTGTAGTGATGATGATCGTAATACGAAGAAGACATCAGACGAATACGACGACTGGTATCAATACCAATAATAAGACGACTAATTCTACGAATGAACCAACGACGAAACACAATGAAACCAATACTAATCGGAATGCGACTGCTAATACTACAACAGCGAATAATCATATGAGTGGTACTAAGCAGAATAGTCATACGGTAACGAGGAGCCAATACTAATACGACCACTACGAAGGCGAACGCGAATACTAGTAGTTTTACTATTCCGAAGAAAAACACTACTACCATTCATACTAAGAACGCGATGTCTACTAATATCACTATGGCAAAAACAAATCATACGAAGAAGACCAACAAGCAACATACTAATATTACTCCTACGGAAATACGACTCATACTACTACTACTACCACTACTACCACTACTACTACTACTATTACTACTACTACTACTACTACTACTACTACTACTACTACTACTACTACTACTACTAATAGTGATATGCGTAATAAGAAGTATACGGAAACAGCGAGCCATGCTCATATTTATTAACACTAACAATACTAATACAGATCATGCGAACCACACACACAATACCAGTACTACTAATACAACAACAACAACTACTATTATTACTGCTACTACTACTACTACTACTACTACTACTACTAGTCGTCGTCGTAGTAGTAGTAGCAGTAGTAGTAGTAGTAGTAGTAGTAGTAGTAGTAGTAGTAGTAGTAGTAGTAGTAGTAGTAGTAGTAGTAGTAGTAGTAGTAGTAGTAGTAGTAGTAGTAGTAGTAGTAGTAGTAGTAGTACTAGTAGTCGTACGAATATTAATACTAATAACATTACTAATACTAATATAAGTGATAAGCAAAAGAAGAAGAGGAGGAGGCGGAGGAGGAGGAGAGTGATGCTGACGAGGATGATCGAGCCCTTGCGCGCCCGTCGATGCGCGACGCGCGGCCGTGGTCGAGCCCTTGCGGGCCCGCCTCAGAGGAGGAAGAGGAGGAAGATGGGGGAGGAGGAGGAAGAGGAGGAGGAGGAACAGGAGGAGCAGGAGGAGGAGGAGGAGGAGGAGGAGGAGGAGGAGGAAGAAGAATAGGAGGAGGAGGAAGAGGAGGAGGAGGAAGAGGAGGAGGAGGAGAATGATGCTGACGAGGATGATGGAGGAGGAGGAGGAGAGGCAGGATAAAGGAGCAGGAGGATGACGAGTGCGTGGTCTTCGGGAGTGCAGCTTCCTCCGAGAGGTCCCACGGGGCTCTCTCTAAGAAAGCATTTCTCACTTAGATGTCCCGCTGGTAACACCTGGTGACCCCCCTTCTAGTGGCGGGGAGTAGGGGGAGGGAAATCGGAGGGATGCCTCGCGTGAAGTGCGTAGAGGTACAAAGTGCTTCAAGAAGAACGCGATGTGGGCTTCATGCAGGAATGAGTGTACGCCAGGCATCGACAAGAACGACCCGAAGTGGGCGCCCGCTGGCGACATAAATTGATGCTTTCCTGCCTTTGGGGGAATCGGAGCTTTGCCCTGCTGCTCACTTCACCTAAGGTGAGACCGAGCGAGAAAAACAGTGACAGCGACGATCGATGACGACAAACATCAAGCGACAACGGATATCAGCACAGTCAACATATTTCCATAGGAAGCCTTGCTTGGGGAGGAAGCTCCTTCTTGGGATTCAGATTTACACGGAGCGCCAGGGGACAACCCCAAGGAAGGACCCGAACCCCCCCGAGCCCTTTCCGAAGCCAAAGTCAGTAATGTAAAGCAGCGGGTTCGTTTGCGCCCACATTCGCGCGCAAGCCGCCCGCGTGAGGTCGCGCGATGAGGCCCTGTTGTGGTTGGTGTGCCCCGTGAGAGGCTTGCGTAAGCCAGTGCACCGACACTGGATGATGGCACTTCGTTGCACCCTGGCATCGACAACAACCAGGGCTGTCTCCTCCTCTCCCCCTCTGTCACAGCCCGCAACTCATTGTCAGGGCCTCGCGGCTGGTGCCGCCGACTCTGAAGGCGGGATCTCTCCCGGGATCCCCGTTGGTGATCCCCCCTGGGACCCGCTGGGACCCCTGGGGGGGGGGGGGGGGCGTTATCATTCTGACCCGGGACCACCCCCCCACACAATTGGCGGGACCCCCCCGGGGACCCCCGCTGGCGACCCCCTCGGCCCAGGACCTGCAGGGATCCTGGGAGGGGCGGTATTCCAGATGAGCGCCTAGGACCGCGATAGAGCACAGTAGAGAGGACTCCGGAGGAGTGCAGAGGAGCGCGATGGAGTGCGATGGAGTGGGGAGGAATGGGCATTCGGAAGGACTCCCGAGGAGTGGGGGGGAGTTCAGAGGAGGTGGAAAGGACGATCGATTGGTAATGTGGTTCCATTGTAGTCTCCGTGTGCACTTTTGGCATGGGCGATGGTTTCGGGGTTCGAACATTTGCGTCCATCTAAGACCTCTCCATTTCTGCGCCCTCGATATTTTTGTGGGGGAGGGTCTGGCGGGGAGGGGGTCATTCTGCGCCGCAGGGTTCGAACTTCTTGTCCACGTGCGGTCCCTCTTTTATCTGGCGGCTTGCCTTCAGCGGGATTCGGTTTTGGGGGAGTTTGAAGAGGCGAGGACGACGACATTCGCGATGAATTGTTTGTTTGTGTGTGCGTGTTGGTGAGATGCTGTAGCGGTAACGTGCGGGCCATGCCCTGGCGTCGTGCTTTGCTGGCCGAGCCCGCAAGGCAGGGTACACCCAGTCAATTACGAACCGCATCCAGGGCACAGGGTTTCTGGGAGTGAGCTCCGATCGAGGTTTCTTGAGCACCGCGCCGCCGGCCACCTGCATATGCCTGCAAACCGACCTTGTGCGTCATGCGCTCCCTACATTGTGTTGCGTTGCTGCCAGTGTCGTCGTTTCTGCCCTGCCAAGGCACGGACCCCGTGGAGCTGCGAGGAGTTAGCGCCACCGATAGACGTTGTCGGTGAGGATTGCCCGCCGCTGCTCTTTGAAACTGCTGTATGTGGAGTGCTATGCGGTTTTGATTGGTGGAGATTTTGTGAGGTGGCTGATGACCGCATCGGACATGGCAAGACTACTTGCGGGAGTGGAGTCGGAAAGCTGCTTGCTCCGCTTCGCTTCGTCTGTTGACCAGTGGCCGCTCCACCAGAATTTCAGGCGATACTGCCACAGAGCGTGATACCCGTCTCGAGGGAGCCGCCGACGAGGTTCCAGACCTGTCCAGCGAGCGAGTCGAAGGGAGTATGAGGAACAGGAGGAGGGCAAGACCAGCCCTCATAATTTCGTCTCCGACCTCTCCCCCCGTATACCCGCCGCGTCCACCGCCTGCCCCCGTCGCACCCGTTCCCGCCCCCGCTTCTTCATCCTACCCGCGCGGTCCAGACTGGAGTTGGTCTCCCGTCCCTTCCCTTCGTCCCTCGCCCTCTCTGCGCCCCTCTCGTTCCCTTCCTCTCTCCCTCCTCCATGCTCCCCCTTTTTCTGTGCACGCAGCTTCCTTTTTCCGATTGCGCATTACGCGCTGGCCGGTTTGTGTTTGGGCGTTCCAGGTCGGCTGTGTCACGCGTCCGCGGATATGGAGAAACAAACAACGCAGTGGTAAGGGATGGGAGGGAGGGGTAGGATATCGGATGTGGCACGAGCGTGCGTAGTCCGCCCTCTCTCCATCTCCCCTTCCATCCCTCCTTCCGTCCCCCTGCTTCCATCCCTCTCCCTTGAAGGCTCGGGAGGTAAAGCGGGGCAGGACGAGGTTGCTGGATGCCTGACAACCTCCTCAGTTGAAGTGTGAGCTTCTACCAGCCGTATGGATTCCTTTGTCAATCATGCCAGTTTCCCCGACAACTTTTTCCCACATACGTTGTGTGTATGTGTAAAGATATATACAATATATATATATATATAGATTTATATCTTCATATATGCACGAGGCCAGGGGCCCCGGACGGAGCGCACACGAACCCCAGCTAACGAATTTCGGCCTCCACGCGCCTCCCAGACGTTTGGGCTTCGTGGATCCCCCTGCTGGCCCTCGAAAGCGGGCCCAGAAGAGCGGTCAGGAGGGTGGCCAAACGGCGCTGCGAGAGCTCCAAGCGGCCCTGGACACTCACCAGACGCCCGAATATGGCCCAAATAATAACCTCCAGAGGTCCCCCAAACGCAAGAGAGCATTGATTGTCTCTCGATGTTTATATGGTTCTTGGATACGCGGTTCTTCGGTCTTCAGGCGTCCGAGCCCGCCCAAAGACCCCCCAAATCGCTCCCCCACGACCCCAAAGAGCTTGCAGTCTCCAGGCAGAGCTCCAAGACGGCCCAACAGGGCCCCAAGATGGCCCGAAGAGCGCCCCCTGAGGGTCCAAGATGGCCCCAAGCCGCCAGTGGTTCGTAGCAAGGTGGCCCGAGAAAGGCCCAGAGGCCCCCTCAGGGCGCCCAGGAGGTCTCCAGAAGCCCGCAAGACGCCCCTGACAAGTGTCTGTCCACGAGGTTTTCCAAAGAGAACCTCCGCAAGTGGAAGCTGAGGATGAGGGAAGGAGAAGGACACACATATCATATCGACGACGGCGAAAACAGCAGCATGGAGTCGTAGGTGTTTTTACTTGTTTACCTATGATTTTTTCTGCCTGCAGGCGGAAATTGATGGAGCAAGGTGCACAGCGCGAAGCGCCAATGCAGACTTGAATTGTATTGTATTGTTTTTTTGTTTTGCATTGCATTTCATTGTATTGTAGTGTGTGGTATTGTACTATGTTGCGTGCACGTATGTATGTATGGCTGCATGCATGTATACCTGACTATATATGTATTGATGACTGTATGCATGCCTGCATGCAGGCATGTATGTATGCATGTCTGTATATATATATATATATGCAAATACGCGTGTACGTACGTATGTATGCATGCAAGTATGCATGCATGCATTCATGCATGCAGGTATGCATGTCTATGTGCATGTACGCACGCGCGTTCATTTATGCATGTAAGTATGCATGCATGTATGCTAATATGTATGCGACATTTTTGTATGTACATGTCTCTCTGTACGTATGTAAATAAGTAAGTATGCATGTACGTGCGTACGTATATATGTGTGCACACGCACGTATGTATGCAGGTACGCATGTATGTGTGTAAGTTTGCATGCATGTACGTACGTATGTATGTATGCATGCAGGCTCACGTGCATGCATCCAGGCATGTAGGTATGCATGCATGCATGTTTGGTGTATGTATGCTGTACGCAGGGATGCATACACACTTACACATACGTGCATCCATCAATCCATCCATACATACATGCTCACGTACACAGCATGCGTACAAACATGCATACAATAACACATACACACATACACACATACACACATACACACATACATACATACATACATACAAACATACATACATACATCCATCCATACATACATACGTACATACATGCATACATCCATACACACATACACACATGCACACATAAATACACACATCCATATATACACATCACACACACATACATACATACATACATACATGCATGCATGCATGCATGCATGCATGCATGCATGAATGCATACATACACACATACATCCATCCATACATGCATGCATGCATGCATGCATACATATCCATACATGTACGCATGTAGACATATACATACACAAATTGTTTTTTACATATGTACTCTAACTGCCCTTGAGCTCATTCCGCCACCGCTACTTGGTGGTAGGTCAGAGGTCTCTTGTATGTTGTGGGGATCCCTTGGCAGACCTCTCGGACGCCTCTTGTGAGCGGTTTTGGCTGTGTATTTGGGGCCTGTCGGGGACCTCTTACCGGCCTCTGAGGTTCTGACTTGGGTCTTTTGGGAGCCTTCTGGATCTTCTAGGGGGCTTCTCGGGGGCTGCTGGCGGTCTCGGGGGTCGTCTTGGGGCGGAGCGCTCGAAATGGCGGCTCGTGTTCCCCGTCTGGGGCCTCTCTTGTGCCTTTCTTTGGGCCGCAGTCTTGGCGGCCTCTTGGGCCGTCTCGGGGCCGCATGGGCGCCCTCTTTCTTGGCGGCCTCTGGGGCTGTCTTTGGACGATCTTGGGGGCCTCTCGGGTCGTTTTGGGGCGTCGGGAACCAGAAAAGACGAGAACGCTACAATTCTTCGAACGCCTATGGCAAATCAGTGAATTTTGCCTCTGGTTTTTTTGGGGGGGCTTGGAGGCATCTTGGGCCGTCTGGTGGCCATCTCTGGCGTCTTGTGGCGATCTTTTCGCTACTCGGCGCCCTCTTGGATCGCCTCGGGGGCTTCTTGGGTCCCTCTCGGCCCGTCTTGGGGCCCCCTTGGCTCCTGAGAAGTCATGCGATGCGACAACATGCGGGGACACGCGGCATTCTCCAGCAGATCCGGGAACTTGGGTCTGGGTCCCTCATATTCGTTTACTTGGGGCCGAGAGCGGAGACCTCCAAGGGACCTGGCCTGAGGGCACGGTGGCGCACATGCATTCATCTGCACGCCTGTACGTATGCATGTATGAAAGAGCGCGTTCTGTGGTCGCTTGGAGGGGGGGGGGTTGGAACCGGAACCGCCCCCCCCCCCGTCCCTCCCTCCCTCTCCTCTGTCCTCGGGCCGGCGCCTGCGTCGGCGGCGGGTACGACGATTTCTTTTTCTCGGCCGGCGCCGGCGCCTGGAGGAGGAGGAGGAGGAGGAGGAGGAGGAGGAGGAGGAGGAGGAGGAGGAGGAGAGGGAGGACGAGGAGGAGGAGGAGGAGGAGGATGAGGAGCAGGATGATGATGATGATGATGATGATGATGATGATGATGATGATGATGATGATGATGATGATGATGATGATGATGATGATGATGATGATGATGATGATGATGATGATGATGATGATGATGATGATGATGATGATGATGATGATGATGCTGATGATGATGATGATGATGATGATGATGATGATGATGATGATGATGATGATGATGATGATGATGCTGATGCTGATGCTGATGCTGATTGCTGATGCTGATGCTGATTATGATGATGCTGATGATGATGATGCTGATGATGATGATGATGATGATGAGGAGGAGGAGGAGGAGGAGTAGGAGGAGGAGGAGGAGGAGGAGGATGATGATGATGAGGAGGAGGAGGAGGAGGAGGAGGAGTGGGGGAGAGGTCCGAAGGGGAGGGGGTGGCGGCGCAGCGCAGGAGACCTTGTTCTGCTTCGCCCTGATGCTGCCAGACTCCTACGAGGTCCGCGGGTCGCGGCGTGCAGCGGCGCGGGGGCGCCGTCCAGTGCCGACCCCTGCGCCCAGACGCCAGGCTCGCGTATCTACGGTGCGTCTTGGCAGCGAGCGAGGGGGGGAAATGAAAAGGAAAAGGCCTTCTCAGAAGGCGGAGGGGCTTCTCAGGAACCCTCGCGCCTTCTGTGAGTTTTTTTCCCTACCTAGGCTCTGCCTAGAAGGGTTCTTATTCGCTTGGCTTAAAAGGGTCGGGCACTGCAAACCGCCCCGGGCGGTTCCCCCAGTCCCCTGGGAGCCAAGCAGAAGTAACAGCAAAGGTAAAAGCAAACGCGCGGTTCCCCCAGTTGCACTCCCTGGAGCGCAACTGGGGGATGCTCAGATCTGGGAGTTGCTGCTGCTGTACAGTTTCGTAGGAACGTTCGGTGTAGCAAGTGTTGCTCAACCTTGCTCAATGCCAAGTCGTGCGGTGTAGGCCGGATCCGGAGCATTTTCAAGCACACCCGGTGAGCGAATGCAGAAACATGCGTGTGTGTGTCTGTGCGCAGGCAAAGCAAAAGCAAAACCAAGCAAAAACAAAAACAAGAGCAAAGCAAAAACAACAGCAAAAGCACAAACAACATCAAAGGCAAAGGCGAAATCAAAGGCAATAGCAAAAGCAAAGGCAATGCAAAGCAACAACAAAACCAATGCGAACGTGTAGATGTATATGTAGATGTAGGTGTAGGTGTAGATGTGGATGTAGGTGTAGATGTAGATGTATATGTAGATGTAGGTGTAGATGTAGGTGTCGATGTAGATGTAGAGGTGGGTATCGCTGTAGATGTAGATGTAGATGTAAGTGTATATGTAGATGTATCTGTACATGTATATGAAGATGTGGATGTAGATGCAGGTGTAGATGTAGATGTAGCTGTAGGTGTAGATGTAGATGTAGATGTAGGTCTAGATGTTGATATAGGTGTCGATGTAGATGTAGGTATATATTTATATATACATAGATGTAGATGTAAAGAACTCCCCAGTGCCCCGCCCTCATCTCCGTGCCTGTTTGCTTTTGCTGCTGTTTCGGCGACTTGCTGCCTTCTACTGCTGCTGCTTCACTTACGGCGTGGTGTCGGCGGTTCTACTACTACTACTACTACTACTACTACTACTACTACTACTACTACTACTACTACCACCACTACTACTACTACTACTACTACTACTACTACTACTACGTATGCTACTGCTACTGCTACTACTGCTGCTACTACTACTACTACTACTACTACTACTACTACTACTCTACTACTTACTACTACTACTACTGCTACTACTACTACTACTTACTATACTACTACTACTACTACTACTACTACTACTACTACTACTGCTACTACTACTACTATACTACTACTACTACTACTACTGCTACTACTACTACTACTACTACTACTACTACTACTACTACTACTACTACTACTACTACTACTACTACTACTACTACTACTACTACTACTACTACTACTACTACTACTACTACTACTACTACTACTACTACTACTACTACTACTACTACTACTACTACTACTACTACTACTACTACTACTACTACTACTACTACTACTACTACGACTACTACTAGTACTGCTACAACTACGACGATGAGGAGAAGGAGGAGGACGGTGTTTACCGCTCCTACTAATGTTGCTTTCCTAGAGGCTCCAACTCCTAGGTAGGGTCGCATTGGGATAATTTGCGTTTCCGGGGAAGGCTGAGGACGCTTCTCCGAAGGCTGCGGGGCTATCGAGCCTTCTTAGTTTGCCCGCTCCTTCTCACTTCCCCCCTTCGCTCGCCGCCGACCTGCGCCCAGGACGCCGGGCCCGCGGATCTACGGTAGGCTCGTGCCGTGTCGACGCGGCCGCGAGCCCGCGGCGGGTGATCCAGGTTGAACGCCACTGGTGGCCCAGAATCGTCTAGTATGGAATGATGCGGCGACCGAGAAGCCGCTGGTGTTGCAGGGTGGAGCGCTCAACGTAGTGTCGGAGACCACCGCGTTGGGGTCGTCACGACACGATCCTGCCTCAGTCTTGCGGCATCAAGATCTTGAGTCCAAGATTCGCTCAAGATTTGCTTTGCGAGCGCTGCATCGCCCACATTCGATTGCCGAGATCTGCCGCCGGTGGCATCGGCCATGGAACGCGTCGAGCTTGGGGAGGTCGGCGGCGAGGCGAGCGGGTCGGAGCAGCTCCTGGTCCAGGACGCTCGCGCCCGCCGCTCGCCTTGGCGAGCGGCGGGCGGCGCTGCCGCGGGTGCGCTGCTTCTGGCCGGCGCAGGCGGGTCGGCGGCGCATTTTGCGTTGGGCGGGGCGGCCTCGGGCGCGGGCCCCCGCCAGGGCAAGCAGCAGACGATTGGCCTTCCCGCGCGCGACCAGTGCTCCAACTGGGACGAGGACTGCTTCAGCACGGGGTGCTGCAACGTGGCGGGCCTGACCTGCTTCCAGACCAAGGCAGGCAAGGGCGAATGCTTGAAGAACTGCACGCCCAGCGATACTCAGCTCTGCAACCAGCCGCAAGAAATCATGGAGCCGGTCTTGGTGGATGCTGTAGTGTACGACCCGACGCTGTACTGCTTCGCGATAGTCATGCAGGACATCGGCAGCACGAAGAAGTACTACGATCTGGAGCTGCTCCAGGGAGCGTATGACAAGGGGATCGGCATCTTTGGTTGTGATTCCTGGGGGGTCTTCAGCGATGCAGAGGCCGATCTCGCGCCAGGCGTTCCGGTCACGAAGGTGGATGACGTCGACGGGGACTTTCATTTCGCGAAGCGGGAGGAGACCGGCACCTGGCTGAACACTGGTTTGCACTACCAGGCTTGGAAGGCAATTCAGGCAGAGGGCAAGTATACGACTGCGAACTGGGTCGTGAAACTCGATGCGGACGCGGTCATGATCACGAGCCGGTTGAAGTACTGGCTGTCAGACAAGTACGTCCCGGCCGAAGGCATCTACCTCGAGAATTGCCAGTATGTCAAGTATGGTTGGTTCGGCAGCCTGGAGATCTTCTCGAAGGTCGCGTTCGAGACGCTCCTGGGATCGATGGCCTCGTGCAAGAACGGTGGGATCGACTGGAAGGTGGGCATAGATGGCGGCAAGTACGGGCCCATGGGCGAGGATCTGTTTGCGCAGACCTGCCTGGACGCGAACGGCGTCAAGCGCGGCATCGGGTACGGCTCCAAGCTGGACGGGACGTGCGAGGCGGACAGGCCCCCCTCGGAGAAGAAGAACAAGAAGTGGAAGCCCAGCTGCGACACCGTTGCCACCACGACCTACCACCCGCTGATGAAGCCGGAGGACTGGTGGGCGTGCTACGAGTCCACCATGCGGGCCTTCCCGGTGTACCCGCCCCCCTGACTTCTTTCGACGGCCTTGCCCCCCCCCCGTGGCGCTCCGCGGCCCTCCGCCCCTGGTGCCCGCCGCCTGGCCTCCCCGGCGACTGCCCGCCTCCCCACCCGGGAGGGCGTGCTGCGGCGAATTCGTACGGCGCCCCGTCGGGCGGTCGCGCGCTGTCTCGCTCACCCTCGGCGGCGAGCCTGGGTTGGGAGGTGAGGAGGAGAAGGCCTTCTCAGAAGGCTCGGAAGTTTTTCCACCTGAGAAGTTTCCTGGGCCTTCCCCGAAGGCAGAGGAAACTTCTCAGAAGGTGCGATGGCCTCTGAGAAGTCCCGCCGCCTTCTGAGAAGACCTTCTCCTTCCCACTCCGCCCCCTCGCTCGCCGCCGACACCCGCGACGCGAAGGCGTCGAAGGCCAGGCGCGCGGGCGCCCGTGCGAGGGGGCGAGAGGAGCCCCGGGCGCCCGCCAGTCCGCGTTGGGACGGCCGCTGCTGCGCCAAAGTCAGCACGGCGGCATGCCGTTTTCTCCCAGCGGACGGCCCCCCGTTTTCTGGCCGGGACGTCGTGAGGCCGGGAGGTCAAGTGGTGCTTCCAAGCTCTCGTGCGAAAGGTGCAGTGACTTGAAGCTTGTCCGTCCCTTGGCGCTAGCGTGCGTACCCTGAGCCCCAGGTTTATTTCTGCCTGGATGGGCTGTCAAAGACTTCGAGGTCGAATCGAGTTTACGAGCCCCTGTGCGAGAGGCAAAGTGGCTCGAAGCCTGCTTCCCTCCATGTAAGCCGTCTTGTTCATCACGAGGAATCTCTCTCCTTGAGAGCTCGTGCCGCCAAGCGCAAGGCGACCCCTTGCTAATTCGGTATGCTGGCTTCGACGCTGGTCGTTGTCAGCGCGCCTTCGCCACGATGCGCTGAGCACTGGGTCCAGTGCACCGACCGCTGGCTGCAGCGCACTCTGCCATACCGTTGACGTGGTTTTGACACCACCCAGACAAGACCCATCTTGCGCGTGCGCCGACATACGACTGCACAGTAAAAACAAAATCTGGAGGCATCAAGGTGGCAAGCCCTTCCACGTTTTTCTGGCCCCCTGGGGGCAGCTTTTGGGACCCTGGGGCCGTCCGATGAGCGGCTCAGCACGAAGAGGCGGCCCCGGGGCAGCGGGAGTTTTCGGGGCACCCCGCGTGCAGAGAGATGCAACCCGTCGGCGGTCTGGGCCTCGGCCAGTCTTCCCCCACCTCGTCCTGCGGGAAGCACCTCGCAGCGACGCGGTGAAGCGACCGTCCCCCGACGCACCACGCCCTCTCGGCTGGAGGGACGTCGCTGGGCGGCGAGGTCGTTGCCTATCCCCTGGTCGTCGGTGCGCGCGCCTTCGGCCCCGCTTCCTTCTGTAAAGGGGGAGGCCGGGGGTGCCGGTTGCGTGCCACTGCGGCCCGCCCGCGTGCGGTGTTCACCGCGCAAGATGCGGCTTCGGTTCACGTTCTGGTCGGTTCGGTGCTGTTCCATGTTGATCAGGCCTGTTCAGCTCAGCTTTGTTCGGTCGTGACAAGTTATCCTCGGTGCTGTTCTGTCCACTTCTGTTCTGTTCGGTTCTGCTCAGTAATCTTCCTTTCTCTCTCGTTCCTTTCTGTTATGTTTTCTGCTGGTCCGTTTTGTTCTGTTCTGTTCTGTTCTGTCCTGTTCAGTTCCGATGTGTCCCTTGCCGTTTTGTCTCCGTCAGTTCTGGCATGCCGAACGCATGGGCCAGGCCCCATTGGGACCCCCGTCTTTGGTTTCACTAGGAGTCCTTGAATGCGGTCGCAAGCCCATGTCGGCACGCCCTTCACATGGATCGCGCAACGTAGGGAGCTGAGATAGCCTGTGTTCGCCTGGTCTGCAGGATCCTATCCGCATTGCCCCGAACTCCATCTTCCCCGCGGCATTCAGTGTACGGGGAGATGGGGAGATGCCCATATCCTGCGCTACCCATCGCTGCGCAGGTTTGTGCCCTTCCCCCCGTTTTGTTGTTGTTGTTGTTGTTGTTGTTGTTGTTGTTGTTGTTGTTGTTGTTGTTGTTGAACATTATTACTTCTAAAGAATAATTATTGTTGGGGCCCCTGGTGCGCGGCCCCCTCGCCGCGCCTAGGCCGCAGCCACGTTTTCATCATTTTCGTGAGGAAGTCTCAGGCAAAACGGGTTGGTCCGGATCCGGTTGTTTTGTTACGGGCGGTTTTCCCTTGCAAAAAATAAGGCAAAGTGGACATTTCTTGTTCTAACATAACCAAACTTCAATAATCCCTTGCAAAAAATAAGGTAAAGTAGACATTCGCGCGCGCAAGACGAAATCCTTCCAAAACCTTAGTGTTCGTAGCGATTTTAACATAAAAACATCAAAAAAACAATGGTTTTTCAAAAAAAAAGTGTCAAACTTTCATCCCGCGCGCTCTTGCGGATTCGTAGGAAACCCAACACTTTTTAAACATTTCTGTCAAACGGGCTTTTGCGAGCAACTTTTTCGAACTTCTGCAACAACGGTTGCGCACCTGCCAGGGCCATCATCCCTGTCAAATAATACCATGCGGGACACATTCGTTTTTTCTTCGCGCGCGCACGCCGTCGTCGTCGGCCGCGGGGCCCTGAATAGTAGCCACGGTCGTCCGCATGCCACGAAGTGAAGTGTCCGAACGTCATAGGGCGGGAAGCTGGGTGTGGGTGGTGGCGAAGAGTCGTTTGGAAATTTGGTAGAGCTTGAACCGGCCCCCCCACAAAGTGGGGGTATTGCCCGCCTCCTATGAAAACCCTGGCACTGGTGAGAACGGAGTGTCCCCACGTGCTAGTAATTGTTGTTGTTGTTGTTGTTGTTGTTGTTGTTGTTGTTGTTGTTGTTGTTGTTGTTGTTGTTGTTGTTGTTGTTGTTGTTGTTGTTGTTGTTGTTGTTGTTGTTGTTGTTGTTGTTGTTGTTGTTGTTGTTGTTGTTGTTGTTGTTGTTGTTGTTGTCGTTGTTGTTGTTGTTGTTGTTGTTGTTGTTGTTGTTGTTGTTGTTGTTGTTGACGGTCCGCGGCCGCCCCGCCGCTTGCCGGGGCCCGGTCTGCAGGGAAGAAAGGTATGCCCCCCAAAAGGGGTTCGATCGAAGACGATCAGGACCCCCGCTCCCGCCTGAGACTTCCGCGCAACTTACTCAGGAAAGGCGCTCCCGTCTGAGACTTCCTCGCAATGTAATCAAGACCCCGCTCCCGCCTGAGACTTCCGTGCAATTTACGTGGGAACGGCGCTCCCGCCTGAGATTTCTTCGAATTTCACTCAGGACCCCCGCTCCTGCCTGACATTTCCGCGCAATTGACTCAGGAACGGCGCTCCCGCCTGAGACTTCCTCGCAATTTAGTGAGGACCCCCGCTCCCGCCTGAGACTTCCGTGCAATTTGCTCAGGAACGGCGCTCCCGCTTGAGACTTCCTCGCAACTTAGTCAGGGCCCCCGCTCCCGCCCGAGATTTCCTCACAATGTACTCAGGACTGCGCTCTCGCGTGCGACGTCCTCACAAATTATTATGGAATTGCGTTTCGGCGCTCAGGAACCACGCGCGCGCCAAGGACGCCTTCACAACGTGGTATCTTCCCTCTTCCTTCGTCCTTCCCCCTCCCCTTCCTCCCACTCTCCCTCGTTCTTCCCCTCCTCCTCTTGCAGGGCCCGCGCCAATTCCAATGGCGGGCAGAGAGATGTACGCCCCCGAAGGATTGTCCGCCCGTTCCGGTTTGCCCGTACGTCTAAGCCCGCCGGCCCCAGCAAAGAGAAATAATTCCCCCGAAAGGGGTGTGATCGAAGACGAAGAGGGCGGGTTTCGAGGATGTAGGGTATACGTGTTGAATGACTCGCGGGCAAGTAAGAGCGTACAGCCTTAAAGTGGTTGTTGTTGTTGTTGTTGTTCTTTGTGTGTACGTGTTCGTAGTGGTGTGCGTTTATTTGTTAGTTAGTTTGTGTGTTTGTGTGTTTGTGTGTGTGTGTGTGTGTTCGTGTTTGTGCGTGTGTGTGTTTGTGTGTGTGTGCGCGTGTGTGATCAAATTCAAGAACAGTTGCACACGGACTGAGTGTGATTCGTTTTTATATTGCGGCTTTGGCTGTACATAGCGCCACGCATAGTCGTCTTTCATAATGCCACCGTGGATGAAGTACGAGTCGCTCCCCAAACTTTTTCTTTGTTTTGTTTTTTGAAAGTGCCGCCCGCAATCGTTTCCACATATTCAACCAACTACACAGGTGACGGCGGGTGCGATTACATGACGATATTATTGCTACAGCGCGTCGCACGCTTTGTTTGGTACCTCCTAAAAGTTCCAACAGCTACGCAGATGGCGGGTTGCCCCCTTCCAAATTTCAGCTCTCGCCCGAAGCTTCCCTGTATGCTGAATCCTGACGTTTGACGAGTCTTACGCGTGGTTGTGCAGACGGAGTGCGATTCCGTCTCACAATCTTGCCCCCTCGCTCCAGCCCGGCCGGGTCCCCTTAGGCCTAGCCCCCTCGCTTCAGCCGGGCCTCCTCAGGCCCTCAGGCCCAGTGTGTTCTGTGATGCCCGGCAGTCGGATCTGGCCAGGAGCCCTCTTCGCACGCATCTCCGAGTTACTCCGGGTTCCTATACATGCAGGCCTGGGGGACCCTCACCTTTCCGCGCTGGGCGCTCGCCGTCGTCGCAGGAAGCTCGCCGGCAGGGGCAGGAGGCCCGGGACGGGGTGCTCTGGTTCAGCATCGGTGGTGCTTGCTGGGCTTTTGCTCTGCTCCTCGTCATGCTCAGAAGAGGTCATCCTCATGGGAGATGGCGATGCCGTCCGCGGGTCCTCAACCCTCTTCGAAATCAAATGCAAGTTTTTAATGCTGGGCGACGCGCGAAACGCGGCCTACGGGGTCAGATGTTTGTGTTTGCAGTCGCCAATTTCGGCGCGGACGTTGACATTTTGGGGTCCTGGGGTGCCAGCACGTCGTGGGAAAAAACTTACGTTTGATTTCGAGGGGGGATGCAGGATCCTCATGCTCCGCCTCGCTGCTGCCGAGTCCGACGGTACCCTTGCCCTTGGCATCTCGCCCACGTCCCGCCCAGGCTGCACAGGACACGGGCTTCCAAGCAGAGTGCCAGCTGCTGCTCTTGGCTTCGCCTCGGCTGGTCCGGAGTCCCCCGAAAGGTCCCGGTCACTTCCCCTCGCGCTCGCCCCCCGGGAAGCGTGGGTCCCCCAGGTCGGCCTCATCCAGACGCAGCTCGACGCGCAGGCGGGGATCTTCGGGTGCGACGCTTCGGCAGTCTACAGCAACCAGAGCATCAAGATGAGCTCCAAGGTCTCGAAGGCGGACAGGGGGGGCACGCGCGATGCCGAGGCCAGGCCTGCGCGAGGGGGTCGACGGGTTCCCCCTCCCAGAGGGGGCCATCATCGGGGCAGCCGCCACCGCTCGGGGTGAAGGCCGAGTCGTGTGGAGTTCTGCGATCGCGCTCCTCTCTCCTCCTGCTGCTCCTTCTCCTGCTGCTGCTCCTCCCTCCTCCTCCTCCTCCTGTTCCTCCCTGGGCCCCCGCTCGGGGTCGACATCCTGGGCCTCAGCCCCCCCCCCCCCCCAGAGCCGCCCACGACCGCGCAACTTTACGATTTTCACGGCTGGGGTCCATCCCTGGGCCAATTTCCCACCACCACTACCATAGGTAGGACGGGGGAGAAGGGAGGATGGGGAGGTCCTCTTCCTCCTCCTCCTCCTCCTCCTCCTCCTCCTCCTCCTCCTCCTCCTCCTCCTCCTCCCTCCTCTTGCTCCTCTTGCTCCTCTTGCACCTCCTCCTCCTCATCCTCGTCGTCGTCGTCGTCGTCGTCGTCATTGTCGTCGTCGCCGTCGTCGTCGTCGTCGTCGTCGTCGTCGTCGTCGCTGCCGTCGCCGTCGCCGTCGCCGTCGCCGTCGCCGTCGCCGTCGCCGTCTTCGTCGTCGTCGTCGTCGTCGCCACCGTCTTCGTCGCCGCTGTCGCTGTCGCTGTCGCCGTCGCTGTCGCTGCCGTTGCCGCCGCTGCCGTCGCCGCCGCTGCCGTCGCCGCCGCCGCCGCCGCCGTCGCCGTCGCCGTCACCGCCGCCGCCGCCGCCGCCGCTGCCGTCGCCGCCGCCGCCGTCGCTTTCGTCGTCTCCGCCTTCCTCCCTCTCTCCTCCCTCCTCCCTCCCTGCTCCCTCGGACCGTCTCTCTCCGTCGAGAAAGCTGTGCCCCTGGCTGTCGCCAGCATTCCTTTGTGCCTCCGTGGAGAGCCGAACCGAACAGAACCCTCCCTCGTCGCCGTCGTCCCCCCGTTCCTCCGCCTTGGTGCCTCCGTGGAGCCGAACCGAACCGAACCCTCCCTCGTCGCCGTCGTCCCCCCATTCCCCCCTCCGACCCGCGGTGCGCTCCGAGAGCGTGTCGCATCCGCTGAGCCGGGCCACCGCGCGGGCGCGGCCGAGCGCCCCGTGACGTCGCCCGCGTCCCGCCCCCCTGCCGTGCCCCTCGCAGGTCTCCATTGGCACCGATCCTGGCCAGGCCAGGCCCTGGATCCCAGAATCGGTCCTCGTGGTCGTCGTCGTCGTCGTCGTCGTCGTCGTTGTCGTCGTCGTCGTCGTCGTCGTCGTCCTCGTCGTCGACGTCGTCTTCGTCCTCCTCCTCCTCATCCCCCTTCTCCTCCTCCTCCCCTCCTCCTCCTCCTCCCTCCTCCTCCTCCTCCTCTCTCCTCCTCCTCCTCTCCCTCCTCCTCCTCCCTCCTCCTCCTCCCTCCTCCTCCTTCCTCCTCTCCTCCTCATCCTCCTCCCCTCCTCCTCTCCTCCTCGTCTCCCTCCTCCTCCTCCTTCCTCCTCCTCCTCCCCTCGTCCTCCCCACCTCGCCGTGCTCCTCCGCCTCCTCGGCCTCCTCCCGGCTTCCTGCCTCCCCCCTCCCTCCTTCCCCCCTCCCTCCTTCCCCTCCCGCCGCGGCCGCTGTCTCCTCCTCTCGCCCCCTGTCCTTCACCGAGCGCGTTCCACTGCTCGCAGAGTGCCCACTCGCAAAAGCATGTCTTTCTATAACGTAATAGATCGTGAATCCCCCGCAGCGGATCCAGGCCAATTTGCGAGTTCCTGTGCGAGTAGTGGAAAACGCTTCCCTGAGTTCCGACGTAGCGAACAAAAATGCAACATCGTGAAAAATCACGCCTGGAGCCCTAGGCCCCATCTTTCTGCGTCATTTCTCGAACCGCATCGATCTGTGAGGGTCCCATGGCCCGAAAAACGGCGAAAACGCTCGATTTGAAACACTTGAGACGCCAGGATCTCAGGGTTGTTCTTCCTCTCGCCCCTGGTCCTGGTGCTGCTCCGCCTTCGCGCACCCCGCCCTGAGGACCGGTGCTCCCGCGCCAAGGAGCCACGGCTCTCCGCAGAATCCACATGCTGGCGTGCGCCCAAGGCTTTTGGCAGTGGGGCTCCGGGGAGCGGCGCCCCCGAGGCCGGGGCGTGGAGGGGAAAAAGCCTCCGCCCTGCTGCTGACCAGGACGCCGGGCCCCTGGATGCGGCGCCAGAGGCCCTTCGGGGCCAGAGGTCCGATGTTGCTAGAAGTGCCCCTGGCCCAGGGTGCCCCCCCAGGATTTCCAAGGAGGCCCCCACGGCCTCCAGAGCACCCCTCGCGAGGCCCAGAGGGCCCCACGGGGCTCCAGAGGTGAGCTGGGGGCACCTTGGGCCAGGGGCACCTCTAGCGACCCCCGGAGAGGAGAACAGGTGCCGCCGACCCGCGCTTGATGGGCCAATTTTCCACCACCACTGCCATGTGTAAGACGGGGGAGAAAGGAGGATGAGGAGGTTCTCCTCCTCCTCTTCTTCTTCCTCCTCCACCTCCTCCTCGTACAACTACTACTCCTCCCTCTTCTACCCATGGTAGTGGTGGTGGGAAATCGCCCCATCAGCGCTGTGCGAGCATTCCAGCGCTGCGACAGGCGAGTCCCTGCTCTGGCCGTGGCCGGGGGGGGGGGTCGCGGAGGAGGAGGAGGAGGAGGAGGAGGAGGAGGAGGAGGAGGAGGAGTAGGAGGAGGAGGAGGAGGGGAGGAGGAGGAGGAGGAGGAGGAGGAGGAGGAGGAGGAGGAGGAGGGGAGGAGGAGGAGGAGGAGGAGGAGGAGGATGAGAGGAGGAGGAGGAGGAGGAGGAGGAGGAGGAGGAGGAGGAGGGAGGAGGAGGAGGAGGAGGAGGAGGAGGAGGAGGAGGAGGAGGAGCGTGCCGCGTGCCGCCGCGCGGGGGGGAGGCGTCGCTGAAGACGCAGGTCGTGCCGGGCTCGCTGCACTGCGAGCTCGGCGGCCAGTACTGGACCGCGCTCAACACCGAGATCTTCGTGCGGGTCTGGAAGAAGGCATGCCGTGTGGGCCCGCAGGATCCTCCAGAGGAGGAAAAAAGGTACCTGCCGCTACCCTTCGACTGTTTTCCCCTTGTTTTGGGGCATCCTTGGAGGCCGTCATCGCCATCGCTGGATTCGCTTCGAAATTCTGGTCAGAACGCACCCCGGGAGAGGTCTGGGGAGAAGCGGTATTGGTACCTGTTGGTTTCCCCATTCATCCAGGAGTTCAGGAATCATTCCTTTGATTTTGGCCCAGCGGTCGTCCTTCGGACCCGCAGTTACACCGTCCAGGTGTGGCCAAAAAGCGTTCCCTTGATTGTGGCCCAGCGGCCGCGAGATTCATGGTAGCGCGGCGGCGAGGTTTTGCTTTCGAATCGAATCTTGGGAAGAGAACCATTTTTGTCGGCGTGTGAGAGAGAGAGAGAGAGAGACAGAGAGTCAGGGAGAGGGAGGAAGAGAGAGAAAGAGAGAGAGCGAGCCGGAGAGGGAGGATATGTTGATGACATTTGTTTCGGTGGGCGCCAAGCAGACACCGACAGTGGTCTTGGAAAGGCCAGGATCGGTGAAGGTGTGTATTTGGCGTCCATAGATTTTTTGGGATGATGGAGATATCTTGGCAGCAGTTTTGGCCAGGGGGTTGGGAGGTATTCGTGGTGGGTGGAGGAGGGGGAGGAGGGGGAGGAAAAGGAGGAGGAGGGACTATTTGCAGGATGATGGGGATGATATGCTCTGGATTCTAGCATCTAGGATTCGTATTGATAATCGTAGTCGTAGTCGTAATCGTAGTTTTGCCGCAGTCGTCGTCGCAGTCGCAGTCTCAGTTGTGATGATGATGTGGGTGCTGGTGCTAGTAGTACGTACCTCGTAGTTAGTAGCCAGCAGTGAGTAGTTAGTAGCTGCTATCTAGTAGGTAGGGCAGACCTCGAGGAGGACCCAGAGCACCTTGCGGCTGAAACGCTGTACTATATTTTCGCCAACGCCATAAACGAGGGAATATGCAGAGAGGCCCACTTCGAGCACCACGTGAAAACGTTGCCAGCGAACCACGGCGCGCATGGCGTAGGGACACCGCGAAGCCAGAACACAACATGCAGTTGTACGTTCGGGCATACGAAGAACAAAACACAACTGAACACCCAAGCCGGTCGCCGCCAAGTACGACCGATGCATACAGCTGCGCAACGCCACGTGGCAACCGTGAACAATGCGTCACCCCTAACACTGGGAACGGATACGCACCCCACGGATATGTGAACGAGGAGCACGACACTTCGAAGCCGCAAGATATTCGAATCAGAAAGTGGTGACGTCTCGAATGTCTGTAAGGATGATACTAAAGGCATCAGCATCCGTAAAACCATAACTGCCATCCGACGTGTCGTACGCCCCCCCCTCAGAGGGGGAACGACCATGGGCACGGAAATAATAACAGCGTGCTAAATAGTGTGAGCAGCATTTCAAAGATTAATTCGAGCGAGCACTCTGGTGCACAGGACATGTCAGCCCATCGTCGCGGACGGATCAACTCTGAGAATGCCCATGGTGGTCTTCGGTGTGGAGGCCCTCGTGTCAGGTGAGGCGCCGCGGCAGCCCGCGGCCATGACACGATTCACCTGCGGGGGAGACGCAGCCGAAGTTTGAGGCGTCTTGAGCTGCGGAGAGGGACGACATGTTCAGAGGGGAAGGGGGATGTAGGATGAGGATGAGGATGAGGAGGAGGAAGGAGGAGGAGAATAGATAAGGGAGAGGAAGGAGCAGGGGGAGGAGGAGGAGGAGGAGTAGGAGGAGGAGGAGGAGGATGATGTGGACGAGGAGAAAGGAAATGATGAGGAGGACGGTGATAGGGATGGTGATGATGATGATGGTGATGATGATGCTGATGATGATGCTGATGCTGATGCTGATGCTGATGCTGATGCTGATAACGCTCATGCTGGTGCTGATTCTGATGATGATGCTGATGCTGATGCTGATGCTGACGATGCTGCTGCTGATGATGCTGCTGATGATGATGTTGAGGTTGATGTTGTTGATGGTGACGATGATGATGCTGATATTGATGATGATGATGATGATGATGGTGATCATGATTACGATGATGATGATGCTGCTGATGGTGATGATGCTGCTGATGCTGATGCTGATGATGATGATGCTGATGCTGATGCTGATGCTGATGCTGATGCTGCTGCTGCTGCTGATGATGCTGAAGATTGTGATGATGGTGGTGATGATGATGATACTCATGATACTGATGATGATGATGCTGATGCTGATGATGGTGATGATGATGATAGTGATGATGATATTGATGATGATGCTGATGATGGTGATGATGATGATGCTGATGCTGATGATGATGATGATGATGATGATGATGATGATGATGATGATGATGATGATGATGATGATGAATAATAACAATATGAGTAATAATGATATGATGAATAGCAAGGGTAATGATATATGAGTAGGAATACTGGCAAATATGTTCTTTATGACATGTGGAGGTGGATGAGGTCGGGCGAGAAGGCAGGACGAGAAGGATGGAGGTGGAGGGAGGAGGGAGGGATGGAGGGACGGGGGAGAGGGGGGGAAGGATGGGAGAAGGAGGCAGGTGGAGAGAGAGGAGTCGGGAGGCAGGAGCAGGGGAGAGGGGGGAGGGACGAGGAGGGGGCCGTGGCTCCAGATCCGCCTCGGCCCCGCCCTGCCCGAAGAGGTCGCGAGCGGGAAGGAGTTCGGCGCGCACGGCTGGACCGTCAAGGCGGACCCGGACGCCGTGATCCTCCCGCGGCGGCTGCGCCTCAGGGCGGGACGGTCCAGGCGCCCCCCCCCCGCCCCAGCGCACGGGGGAGCCGGCAGCGGTCTTCGCAGCGGGAGGTGCTCCTCCTCCTCCTCCTCCTCCTCCTCCTCCTCCTCCTCCTCCTCCTCCCTCCTCCTCCGCCCTCCTCCGCCCTCCTCCGCCTCCTCCTCCTCCTCCTCCTCTTCCTCCTCCTAGGCCCGTGCTCCCGTCCCCGCGGTTGCACGACTCGGCCTAGCGCTTGTCCTCCTCCTCCTCCTCCTCATCATCATTATCATCATCATCACTACCATCATCATCATCATCATCATCATCATCATCATCATCATCATCATCATCATCATCATCATCATCATCATCATCATCATCATCATCATCATCATCATCATCATCATCATCATCATCATCTCATCATCATCATCATCATCGACATCATCATCGTCATCTCATCATCATCATCATCATAATCATAATAATCATCAGCATCATCATCATCACTATCATCATCACCATCATCATCATCACCATCATCAGCATAGCATCAGCATCACAAGCATCAGCATCAGCATCATCGCAGCATCAGCATCATCAGCATCATCGCACATCATCAATCACCACCCCACCATCATCAGCATCATCATCAATCATCATCATCATCATCATCATCATCACCACCATCATCATCAGCATCATCATCATCATCATCAGCATCATCAGCCATCATCATCAATCATCATCATCAGCATCATCATCATCATCATCATCATCATCATCATCATCATGCATCATCATCATCAATCATCATCATATCATCATCACAGCATCAGCAGCATCCCCTCCTCCTCCCTCCTCCTTTTCCATTCCTCCTCCTCGTCCTTCTCCTCCTACTCCTCCTCCTCCTCCTTTTCCTCTCCGCATCGGGATTTGCTCTTCCTCCTTCCCTCTTGGCACCGTGCCTGCTGCTCCTCTGCCTGTTGCCTGAGACACTTGGCCTGGCGGTAAGGTGTTGCATTCTATCCTTGGGGAGCCCGTGGCAGCTCCGCCACCGTGCCGGCGGAGCAAACGTGCGCCGACGCTTCGAGCACCGTCCGCAAGGCCGTCGCATGTCACACATCCCTCGTCTCCACCACCTCTTCCTCCTCCTCCTCCTCCCTCCTCCTCCTCCTCCTCCTCCTCCTCCTCCTCCTCCTCCTCCTCCTCCTCCTCTCCTCCTCCTCCTTCTCCTTCTTCTCCCGGCTGCTCTGGGGCCACCTCTTTGGCTCGCCTCCTTTTGCTAGCCTGTCTGCGCCGCGCTGCCTGTGCCAACCCCACGGGCTGGCTGAAAACTGTGATAGACGACGTGTCCCTGCACGCCGTAGGTGGTGCAGGCACGGTCAGGCGCGAACTCGTCTCAGCTTACACCACCACTGCGACGGACTGGAAACAGAAGGGCCTGCCCATTGCTTTGCAATGGCAGGCCTTGCTCAGGCAGGATGGTGGTTCGGTTCCGTCCCACCCACGATGTGCCCAGATCAGGTTGCCAGAGATGGTGAAGACTATGCTCTTTTTGTGGCCGCTCGTTTCCTTGGCAGCACCTACACCCTCTATTCAGATTGCAAGGGGACGCTCCAGTGTGTCGCGGATCGGCGGTTCGCTTGTCGTGCTAGCAATGGCAGGGCTCATTTGTGGAGCCAGACTTTTGCCCAGGGCTCGCTAGGCGACATTTCCTGGAAACAAGTGTTGGCTCACTCGTCGGAGGTTGATGTTCGTGAGGGGCGGATCTCGGCCTTCGGAAGAACGGGCAACTCTGAAGCGGACCGATTGGCCAAAGCTGGAGCCACCCTCAGCAGGCACGACCCTCGGAGGTGCTGGCAGCTAAGGGCATGCTCTTTTTAGCGCGCCAGCTGGCCAGTTTTATCACTCGTGCTGAGGTTTTTTATTCAGAGGAGGGCCGATACGACAACATCGGGGCCCAGGGGCTCACGTTGGTTTCCCTGGAGGGGGACCCCAAGTGGGGAGGTGCCGTGGAGGTGGCTTGGAGGGAGGATGAGGAGGTGGCTGCCGCTGCTGCCCTCGCCCCGCCTCAACCCGAGAGCTCCCAGGCCCCCCCGAGCCCTTGGCGCCTGAGTTGGCCCGCCTGGCTGCGGATGCAGTCCAGGTGCCGTGGGCCGAAGGAGGCCACCATATGCTGGAGTTCCCAGTCCTTGGGGAAAAACCAGGCCTCTCTTCTGTTTTGCTCCACTTGTGGGGCGTATGCGACCATCTGCCCTGGGGCTCGAGGCCTGAAGGGGCTCTGTCTGGGTTCCCAGGTTGCCCTAGTGGATCCAGGGCGCAAGAACAAACGTTCTTTTTCCAAGGGCAAGCATCCGAGCCGCCCTCTTAGGCTGGGCCCCTGGGTCTCTCCTGGGGTCCAGGCGCGGGAGCTGTTCGGGGGGTCCTTCGTTCCTTCAGGGGCCCAGCCAAGGGGAAAGCGGGGCGTGGCTGCCCCGAGTCGCCAAGCTGGGCGGGATCTCTGCATGGCCGACTGCCTGCAGGCTTATGGTCTCAACGAGGTGGAAGCCCGTAGCCTGGCGACCAGACTTCGGCAAAAGGAGCGGGCAGACATGCCCGAGGACGAGCATGACGGTTGTGATTTTTCCTAGGGGGGGGTCTTGTCTTGGCCCCTGGCAGGTCTTTGGCCTTCCTGCCAGGGTGACAAAAAGGTCCTCTCCGATGGACCCCCCTGTTTTTTTGCTGAACCGTCGGGTTTCTCTCTCTCTCTCTCTCTCTCGCTCTCTTTCTCTCCCCTCAGTGGCGTGCGATCCTCCTCCCCGTTCCCTCCCTCCCTCATCCCCCTCCTCCCTCCTCCTCATCGCCTCCCTCCTCCTCCCCTCCCCTCCCCTCCCCTCCCCCTCCCCCCCTTCCCCTACCCCCCCCCTCCCTCCCTCCCTCCCTCCGTCCCTCCCTTCGTCCTCCTGGCCGTCTCCTGCCGCGGGCCACCCGGGCCCACCCGGAGGCCGGCGGCGAGCCCTCTGCGCCAGCTCCTGGCCTCGCCAGGGTTTTTCTCCGTGCGTCCCATTGGGATGGGCAGGGCCGTCATGGGGCGGTCCAGGAGCTCCTGTCAGGCAGACATGGGGCCCCCTTGGTCGGAGGGCACCAACTAAACACCTACACCGATCCTGGCCAGGCCAATCCCTAGGCCCAGGATCGGTGTCGGTGTATATGCTTCCCTGCCCCAGGCAGGAGGGCGTATACACTGGTCCTGGGCCCAGGGTGATCCTGGCCAGGATCGGTGCTGGTGTATGGTTGGTGCCCTCCTACTTGGGGCCGTCCTGTGGGCCTTTTGGGGCTTTCTTGTGCCGCCATGAAGCTCTTCTAGGCCCCTTTTGGCCGTGCGGGGGGCTATCTTGGGGCCGTCTTGGGCCGTCTCGGGACCGTGTCAAGCCGTTCTGGGTCCCCCCCCTCTTGGACCAGCTTGTGGCTCTCTCGGGGCTGTCTTGGGGCGCCAGGAGGCCCCCTTGGAGCTCTTTGCGGGATCTTCTGGGCTTTCGAAGGTCGCCAAAGGGGCCGATGTTGCACCGACGAGCGCCGAAAGCGAATACTTGGAAGAACATCAGTTAAACCAATGTGTTTTCGGTTTCTTTAGGGCTTTCGGCGAGCGTCTTCCCTCTTGGGGGCCCCTTGAAGCGTCTTGGGTGCCTCGGGGGCGCTTCTTGGGGTTTCTGGGGGGTCTCTTGGGTGCATCTTGGGGGCATCTTGGGGGCCTCTTGGGGCCTTCTGGGCGTCTCTTGGGGCCCGATGTGTCGTTTCGGATGCCATCTTGGGCCATCTTGGAGGTGATCGATCAAAGAACGGGTGGAGGTCCAAGTAGCTCCCCTCCCCCAGGAGGCCACAATTGGCCCCAAACCCGAGTCAAATCAATCATTTTGGCTTTCTCGCCGAGGCCATCTTGGACGCTCTAGTTACCCGCCGCTCCCCCCGTCCAGGTCCAGGGAAGGGGCAGGCGGAAGGGGAAGCTGTTTCGAGCAGGTGGAGTCTCCCCCCATGGGACGCACTGCTGCAAGCAGTCGCACTAAGCAGAGGTCCAGAGCCAGACCCCCCCCTCCCCTCCCTTCCTCCCAATGTCGAAACGCCGAATCAAAAAACGTTGACTTTCGAGAGTGCGCATAGCGCGAATGTTTGTATCACGCGGCCGGTCTCGCGGAGCGGGGTGACCGTGTTCATATACGTGGGCGGGCGCGCACGTCCTTGGTGTTGTGATGTTCCAACCTACTTTGGCCTTGATCACCAGGAAGAAGTTCGAGCACCAAGAAGGTACCCCAACTGGAGTGCTTTCACGTGTCGGGCCCTCGGAGGCGGTACTCGTTCGACGCTGTTTCGAAGAATCGCCTTTCCGGGTGCTCGAGATCGTTTCTGGGACGTGGTCCCCACGCACGACTGGAGCAGCACGACCCTCGTGGGCTCCCTGCCACCGTGTGGCCCGCCGGCCGTGGCCCGAAGGAGAGAGAGGCCCTCGGCCGCCCCGCCTCCTGGGGGAGGGCGGTCACCTCGGCCCGCGGGCTGCAGGACAGGGCTGGACCCGGGCGCTGCCCTGCCGAGCTCCGGCTGTGTTCTGTGTTTCGTTCTGGCGGGGAGGTGCAGGAAAACAGGTATCGCCGAGCGCGTTCCACTACTCGCAAAGTGCCTACTTGCAAGCGTTCGAAAAACACATGTCTGCTCTGATGTAATGTATCGTAGATCCCCCGCGGGGGATCCAGGCCATTTGCGAGTAGTTACTTTGCGAGTAGTGGAACGCGCTCGTCGAAGGTAGAGCAGAACGAAAAACAGGACGAGAAAACGAATTGAACAGCAACCTTGAGGTCCCGCCCTGCTGCAGGAGTTCGTCGTCGCCGTCGCCGTCGCCCTTCTTGGCGCGGGGCAGCTCTGCGCGCGAGGCTGCCCCCGTGTCCACGGGGTCGCCCCCAGGGGGGGTCGCCCCCCGGAGGCCGCGAGGCCGCGAGGATCCGTAGATGCGCAGGCACGCCACCGGCGATGCTGGCAACGACGATGTGGGTGTCGGCACTCTCATAGGTGCGGGCGGCTCGTGGCCCGTCCGATGGCAGGAGAGGCTTGTGTTCGCGTCTTCCTGCCATCTTCTTATCATCTGTCCTGCGCGAGCTCGGCGTCGCAGAAGCCATCTCCCAACACCGCCCGTAACCAGCATCGCCCTTCTAGCGTGGCCTCGGTGGATGCGGCGCATCCTGCGCCCCCCCCCCAGTGCGAGTGGTTCGTGGCCAGTCCGATTGCAGAAACGGCTTGTTCACGCTTTCCGCTTTCCTGCCATCTGTTATCATCTGCTCTGCGCAAGTTCGGCGTCGCAGACACCAGATTTCCAACACCGTCGTGAACCAACATCTCAGGCGATCGCAAACATGGATCAATGGGGGCGTGGATTGGCGACGGGCCCGTTTCCATATCACCGCCGCCGAGCGAGGCGGCACCGGCCGCACTTTGGGGAGGGCACCTCCCCCGATGCATGGATTTGGCGACCGCGCGCCAAATCTACGGGTCGCTAATTCGTGCTTGCGCTTTCCCGAGCATCGCCGTTGGCGTGGCCTTGGTGGATGCGGCGCGCCCCCCGCCCCAGGGACCTCCGACGAGAGGCCTTTTTTCCCAGTCTCTGCGGGCAGCAGAGGTCTCGACCCCTGCCTCCGGGGCAGCTTTTCCGTCCCATGTTCTATCAGGAGGGGAACAAAAACACAGACACACAATCGTCGAGTCCCCCGAAGGTATGGAAAGGTATGGAAGTGGGGGGCAGACGGAGAGCCAGAAACTATTGGTACATGTGGGGGATCATGGGATTTGTGGGTATTTCTGTGTGTGTCCGAGGGCCCCTTTATTTTGAGACCTTCTGGGCCCGAGGACGGCACCAGGAGCCGGAGACGGAGTAAAGGCGCAGGGAATCGAAGACGTCGATCCGTGGGAGATCCGGGCCAGGGCCTCTTCGCCCACGCGCGCGCGCGGAGGCCTCCCTCAAGCCCTCCTGCCTACTGAGAGGCTTTTCCTGTGTCTTCGGGGAAGGCTCAGAGTACTTCTCAGAAGGCCGGGGAATTTCCGAGCCTTCTGAGAAGGCCTCCCTGAGATTCGACGTTGCCAAAATTGCAGCATCGCAAAAGCCGCGACCACATCTCCGGAGCCCTTCGATTCCCCGGCGCCTCTACCCACCTCTCTGCGTCACCCGTCGAGCCCGATCGATCTGTGAGGGCCCCGGGGCCCGAACTTGAGCGAAAGCGCCCGGCTCGAAAAATCGAGTCGCCAGAATCTCAGGGCTTCTCCTTCTTGCCTCCCCCCTGGGCTCGCCGCCGTCCTCCGGGCGGCGCGTGCGTGCGTGCCACCTCCCGGCAGGTTCCTGTCCGGGCGGCAGGACAAGGCCCGACCGCCCTGCTCCAGTCTTGCCTCTCTTAGCTCTAGGCCTCCCAGGTGGGGTCGGAGCAGACGGGGTCGAAGGATCGCGCCGCACCGCCGATGCATCGACGATGCGGCTCGATGTGGAGCCCGCGTTTCCCCACGCCGACGTCGCCGATACATCGCCGACGTCGCCTATGCATCGCCGATGGATTCGCGATGCGGCGCGACCCTTCGACCCCATCTACTCGGACCCCATCCGGGAGGCCTCTATTATCAAAGAGGAGAGGGCTGGCCTCGGGGAGCTCGGGGTTGCAGCTCCCGGGAGAGGTCTTGAGGCCTGGCCAGGGCGCGCTTGTCCCTGGCCACGGAGAGTGCCGTGTGCGGTCGGACCGAGGCATGAGATCGAGGTCGGTTCGGGGAAGGTGCCCCCAGTGTCGTTTCCGCAGAAGGCTGCCACACACCACCGCCGTCCCTTGCCTCGGCCAGGGGGGCACGCAAACCATGCCAGGGCCCAGGATGGCTCTGGCCTGGCATGGTGGTGGTGGTGGTGGTGTGCTAGGGGAGGCTTCTCGCACGCCAGCCGCGTATCGCGTATCCCCCCGTGGTGACCGAAGAACAACGATACAGGCATAAACATAACTGTCAGAGGTCCGCGCGGAGTTCTTGGGTCAGCGTTGGATCCCTGGCGGCGGGGTCAGCGCCGACCCAAGATACGAGCAGACCTTCTATAGTTTGTTTGTATGTTTGTTGGCTTGTTTATTGGTAAGGCCTTACGACCGGTGCCGCCGACACTGAGGGTGGACCACGACCACGACGGCGGCGTCGGCGGCGACGACGCTGACGTGGGCCAGAGTTCTCAGTGATGCTTCGCGGGGCCTCTTCGGAGCGCGCTCACAGGCTCTGGGGGGCAGTTTTGGGGCCTCTTGGGAGCATTTTAGGAGCCTCTTGGAGCCTCTTGGGGGTCCCTTTGGGCTTCCTGGGGACCTCTTGGGGGCCTCGTGGGGGCCTCGTGGGGTGGGGGCCTCGTCGGGGCCTCTCGGGGCCTCCTGGGAGCTTCTCGGGCTGAGGGCTCGAAATGTCCGTTCGGGCTCCCGTGTGGGCACCCTCTTGGAGCCGTTTTGGGGGTCTCTTGGGCCGTCTGGGAGGCCTCTAGGCCCGTCTTGGGGCCCTTTTGGGTCGTTTTGGGGCCGTTTTGTACACCTCTTGCGTGAATCTTATGCCGATCTTGGTGGCATCTTGGGCCGTCTTGGGGCGTCAGGAAGCAAAAAAGGCGAGAACGTTTGAATCTTGGAAACACCCCAAAGAAAATCATTGAATTTTGCGTGTTTGGGCTCTCTAGGGGTGCTCTTGGAGGCCTCTTCGAGTGGAAGCCGCTTGGGTTGTCATGAGGCCGTCTTCGGCGTCTTGGACTGATTGTTCGGCGATTCGGGGCCCTTTTGGACCGTCTTGGGGGCCTCTTGGACTGTCTTGGAGCCTTATTGGCCCCAGGACCATCAAGGGGAGGATGGTATTCTGACCTGGGACCTCCCCCGGGGACCCCCTCCGGGACCCCCCCCACGACCACCCCCAAGGGGGGGCAAGGGATCAAAGGAAAGGATGTTCCCTTCGACTCAATTTCGCTTTGGTTTCGCTTTGGCTGGCTCGCTTGAGGAGAGGGGCCCAGAGCTCCACCGAAGGCCCCAGTGGCGGTGGCAAGGAGATCCACCGAAGGCGATACCCACAAGGGCGATACTCACAACTGCACACAGTTGGGCCCTTCGCCGGGGTCAATTCTTTGTCCTGGGGCCCTGGCGCGGCGCCCGGACGGCGCCGAAGATGGCGCAGGACCACCTCGCCGCGGCGTTCTTTTCCGGTCGCGGTCGCCAGGAAGGCCGGGCCACCAGAGCCCGCCCGCCAGAAGGGGGGGGCCCAGAGCGAGCAGAAGCCATGGCCCCCGAGCTCATCCTGAGGGAGGAGAATCGCCACCAACCACACCACCCCAACGCAACCCGAAGGCCCCCATCTGCCATCCATTCCCAGCCAGTGGGGGGGGGGGGCGTCGGGGAGCACCGAACAAGCACACGTGCAACCCGTGCCCCCCCCGACCCGAAGTGGGGGTCTTCGGGTTAGGTCGGGGTGGTCTGGCCACAGAAGGAGGAGGTTCGCTAGGGGACGAAACGGTCGCCGTGTGGTCGAGTGTTGCTCCGGGCTCGCAGGGCTCGTCCTCCCCGTCGCCGCCATTTCCATCTCCATCTCTTCGCAGCGGGCGTGACCCGACAGGTGTACATGAACAACTGCCAGTTCGGGCTGCACGGTCCGGTGGAGATGATGTCTTTGGGGGCCATGGTGGCGTACCGGGACGGCATCGACAGGCTTGGCCCGGCAGCCAAGGGGTGGGCCCCGTGCGTTCGCGCCGTATCTGATGTCCTGCCCCCGCCATGCCTCCCTGTTCCACTGCGCCGAATTGTTCTCTTCTTTTTCCACCGGCTGGGGCGTCCCGGATGACCTTGATCCCCTGAGTGGCTCCATCGAACCGGATCATTAGTGTGGCCCGCGCTGGGGCGAGAACGCAAGTCTGAACGACGGGAGCAGATCGCCGATTCTGAAATGTAGCCAATGCTGCAGCGGAACGCAAATTTTGGAAGGACCGAAACCAGCACACAGGAAACACCAAATTTTGAAATCCTCTCTGTGGAAAATATGCCGGAGGGGGTGTCGTCGTCGCACAAACAGCACCTGTGGAGAGGAGAGTAGTATCACTGTGGAGGAGAAGGAGGGTGATGGAGCGGAAGGTGGAGGGCTTGCCGTTCCAGGTGCGTGGAGGAACTGAAGGAGGAGTTCAGCCAGTACGGCGAGGACGTGTTCTTGCGCGAGTGCCTGCAGTTGGTCGGGGTCGACAAAGTGGACCACTTGCGCCCCTCACCTCCTCCCTCCTTCTCCACCCTCTTCCCGCTCTTCCCTCCGTCCTCAGTCGTCCTTCCTGTGCTCAAGAGACTTACGCCATTCCGCCGGCTCCCGGAAGAGGAGATGTGCGGCTTCGATTTCTGCTGTGCTGTTCCCCTCTTCCCGTTGTCTTGCCTGCCTGCAGTTGTTGCGGGCTCGTCCTCCTCTTCCTCCGCGCCCGCTGCGGGGTTTCTTGGGGGCCTCGTGGGGGCCTCTTGGGGCGGCCTGGGAGCCTTTCCAGGGCTCTGGGGAGATTCTTGGGGGCCCTCTGCGGGCCTCTCGGGGGCTTCTCCCGGCCCTCCTGGGGGTTTTGGGGGCTATCTTGGGGGAGAGGGTCCCTGGGCCCCCACGACTTCCCCGCTCAGGGGCCCTTGGGACCCCTGCTGAGGGTTTTCTTTGGGGCCGTCCTGGGGTCTCTTAGGTAGTCTTGGGGCCTTCTTGGGTAGTCTCTGGGCCATCTTGGGGGGCCTCTTGATAGGAGGCCACATGCGAACCCCACCCCATCACCACACGATTTCTAAGGGGGGAGGTGGGGTTCACTTCGTTCGGGACCTCCCGAGCGAAGGGACCTCCCGAGGGTTCGCATGTGGCCCCCTATCTGGAGTGCTTTGGGACTGGTCTGGTATCCCCTCTGGTCGTCGTGGGGTTTCCGAAGCGCGCCAGGCGAGCACGCGGAAGTCATTTGAACAGCCACTGGAAGCTCATTGATTTTTGCCGACTAAGGCCCTCTTAAGACTTCTCTTGGGTTCCTCTTGACGGTCGTCGGGGCCTCGTGGGCCGTCTTGAGGCTATCAGGGATGTTCTTGAGGCATCTCTGGCGTGTTGTAGCCTTGTAGCCCTTCTTGAGCTGTCGTAGCAGGCAGCTTGGGCATGTCGGAGGCCGAGGAGGGGGGAAAGGGAAGGGGGACTGCCAAATGCCTTACACGCCTTTTCACCACCCCCGGCAAGCGAGTATCGGTGGATTTCGTTTGCTCCACCTTTGTTTTGTTTCTACTTCCCCTGTGATGTCTTGTTCGCCCTTGCTTCCTGTCCTCCACTCACTGTTACGTGTTCTACTCTTGTTCGATTTATCCCCCTTTATGGTTCTCTGTCCCTGGTTGTGTTTCTCCGCCTCTCTTTCGTTTCCTCCGACGCTGTTTTGTTTTTCTCGTCTTGGTCTCTCCCCTCCAGAGACTTCCTGAAGATTGCCCCGGAGCGCGCCTGCAGAAGTTTTTTAGGAACGCAGGGAGTATTCTGCGGGAGGACGGCTGGAACATGTCTTGGCGCCGCCGACACACAGGGTCTCTGGAACACTGTTTTGGAGCGCCCGCGGTTCGATGGTCGACCTGCGAGGAGGGGGCTCCCGCGCTGATCCACGAAGTCCGCGCGGACCTCCTCCTCTCTGGTGTTGTGCTCGTCGCCCTCGTTTTGTCCTGCCACAGGGCGCCCCTCGCACGGTGTAGATCTAGGCCTCCCAGATGGCGTCCGAGTGAACGGAGTCGGTGGATCGCGCCGCATCGCCGATGCATCGACGATGTGGCTCCATGTGGGGCTAGAGTTTCTGCATGCCAATGGCGCCGATGCATCGCCGACGTCGCCGATGCATCGCCAATGCATCGGCGATGCATTGCCGATACATCGGCGATGCGGCGCAATCCTCCGTTCCCATCTGTTTGGACCCCATCTAGGAGGCCTCTAGTAGAAGCGTTGTGCTTGACGCTCCTGCGTGCCTCTGAACAGCGCTCCGCTGATGATCCGCAGCGAGCCTCCGCGTCTTGTACTCGGCCCGTCAGGAGGACTTCAGCATGATGAAGGAGACCCACTGCGACTGGTACGGCGAGGTTGATCAGGACACCCGTCCCGCGGTCGAGATATTTTGCCGGCCGACGTGCCTCAGGGTGGGTCGAGGGCCGGGTAGGGACTCCGAGGAGAAGGGCCAGCAGGGGCCAAGGAGTCTCAGGGTCCCGCTGTGATCGGTTCAGGTATGATGAATTTCTGCTCACGTTCTTCCTCGACCTCCTCGCCTAGCCTCGCCTCTCCTTTTCTCTTTCTCCCTTTCATCCTTTCCTGGTCTGGGGCGGCTGGTGGCCGAAGTAGTATTCGCACCGCCCAGTTCGCCACTCCGCGTGCGAGAACAGCGAAATCTTCATCCGACGTTCGACGACGACGACTTTCCTCCTCCCTCCTCCCCCTCCTCCTCCTCCTTCTTCTCCTCCTCCTCCCCTTCCTCCTCCTCCTCCTCCTCCTCCTCCTCCTCCTCCTCCTCCTCCTCCTCCTCCTCCTCCTCCTCCTCCCCCGCCTCCTCCTCCTCCTCCTCCTTCTCCTCCTCCTCCTTCTCCTCCCCTCCTCCTCCCCTCCTCCCCTCCTCCTCCTCTCCTCCTCCCTCCTCCTCCTCCTCCTCCTCCTCCTCCTCCTCCTCCTCCTCCTCCTCCTCCTCCTCCTCCTCCTCCTCCTCCTCCTCCTCCTCCTCCTCCTCCTCCTCCTCCTCCTCCTCCTCCTCCTCCTCCTCCTCCTCCTCCTCCTCCTCCTCCTCCTCCTCCTCCTCCTCCTCCTCCTCCTTCCTCCTCCTCCTCCTCCTCCCCTCCTCCTCCTCCTCCTCCTCCTCCTCCTCCTCCCTCCTCCTCCTCCCCCCTACTCGTCCTCCTCCTCCTCCACCTCCTCCTCCTCCTCCTCCTCCTCCCTCCTCCTCCCTCCCCTCCCCTCCTCCTCTCCTCCTCCTCCTCCTCCTCCTCCTCCTTCTCCGCAGTCGCTGCTCTGGGGAACCGCGTGCAATTAGGCACTCTCCCGACCTTGCGCGCAGCAGAGGGGGCGCTGCGAGGGGTGGCCTTCCGAAGGATTCCAGGAGGCCTCCAGAGCCTTCCAGGAGGAGGAGGAGGAGGAGGAGGAGGAGGAGGAGGAGGAGGAGGAGGAGGAGGAGGAGGAGGAGGAGGAGGAGGAGGAGGAGATGAGGAGGAGGAGGAGGAGGACGAGGAGGAGGAGGAGGAAGAGGAGGATGGGGAGGAGGAGGAGGAGGGGGAGGAGGGGGAGGATAGAACGCCACACGGAAGCCTTAGGTCGGTCTAACGTAAAAAGGAGGGGGAGGAGGAGGTTTCAAGGAGCGCGTCCTTGTCTTTTGGGCGTGCTGCCCCCCCCGTCGCGCGCGGCCGCGCCGGCGGAAGCCAGCGGCAGCACTCGACGCGCAGGAGCGGACCCGGGAATCGAAGATACCCACTTGCCTCTGCTCACTCTTCGTCGGGCTTCTGGTTCAGCATGCAGTCAGCCCGCATATTAAGGATGGGCAACCTGCCCAAGGCTACTCTTGCATCCTTGGCTCCTCGCTCCATCCTTGGCGGCCACTTTCGTTGGCCGCCCCCCGCCCGAGAAGCTTCGACACGGCCCTCCAAGTGACCATTGCCCTTGTATCATTATCGTGCATCGTTATGATTCGGGTTGACAATGGTGCCTATATCAGCGCCGTCCACACGGTAGTTCAAAGCCCCCCGCATGAGACTGCTTAAGCCGAACGAGTGATCATTGGAGGTAGTGCGCGTCTGGAAGCACTCGATCCGTGCATCCCCCCCCCCCCCCGCCTCCCCGCAAGAGATGCTCATTCTTTTGGGGGTTCAGGGTTTCTGGAACGTGCCAGGCGCGGGCGGAGCCAGTGTGGACCACGGTCCTGCCTTCAGCTAAAGAGGGATTGCAGTCGGCCTCCCCGCAGACGATGCTCTCCTGTGCGTCCCCATCAGTTGTGTCCCGTTTTGTTTGTTTTGCGGGTCCCAGGACTATGCACCACTGCCTCCATCCCCCCTCCCTCCTCCACCCTCCTCTTCCCCTCTTTCCTGGGAGAGGGAGGGGGTGAGGGAGGTGTTGTTGGTGTATATTGTTGGGGCCCGTATTTGAGTCAAGCAGAGAGGGAGTGGCGCGAGCGAGAGTTGTGGCATTCTAGGAGGGGCCCCTTTGCGACTTCTAAGAAGCCCTCACATTGCAGGTTTGCGCCGTGTCGACGCGGGGGGACGCCAGCGCGACCTCGTTACAGACCGTTGGCGGCCTGGACCAGGCCAGCTTCGAGCGATCTCTGCTGTCGGATGCGGCGATCGTTCAATTTTGAGCGAACGGTCTACGCGGTCTCAGAGACCAACGTCCGCGATGACACGGCAGGAATCAGCCGCAGAAGCAAAATAACAATTTTCCAGAAGCCCGCTGCCTCCCTCCCCTCGCCCAGATCCCTGGGCGTTTCCTGGGTCCATCCTTACCAGTTTTCTATGGATGCTCCTAGCCACCTCTACCTCCTTCCACTACGCAAATACGAACCTGGTCAGGATTACTACAGGCATTTCCACCACCTCCAAGAGGGATTCCGTGGCATGCTTAGCCTGCTCTTGCAGAGAGCTCGTCGCCCACAAGGCGATTAGTCACTGTCGCTGCTGTCTGATGGGGGAAAATATCCGACGAAGGCATCTATACCACCAACGCGCCAGGCCAGGGCCATTCTGATCCCTAGGATGGTGTAGAGACCCTCCTGGCCTCGGCCAGGAGGGCGTGTGCACCATGCCAGGGCCAGGATGGCCCTAGCTTGGCACGGTAGTTGTACAGTTGCCTTCTGCGTAACATCTGTTTTGGGGGAAAAATAGTCGGAAACTGGAACATCCGCATTACCAGTGGCGGGCTGTCTTTCAATCCCAGGATTTCTTGGGGGTCGAGGAGGACGCTGGGGTGGTGTGGCGCATACCTTTTTCCCCGATGTCCCAGGGAAACGACGAAACATGTATACACCAGGGTCCCGTATGCACCAGCATCCGCTCTCCGGTGCAAATTCGAATGCAGGGCCGGAACAAGCGTCGGTGTGTAGAGCTCGGTTCCTTGAATAGCTGCCGGCCCGTGGTCACAACGGGCGCCCCCGGAGGCGCGCCCCAGAGGGCCAGGAGTGGCCGGAGACCTCCCTCTCGAGCCTCGAGGCCACGCCCCCTCCTCCCGTCCGCCGCCCAGCAAGAGCTTCGGCAGCAAGTCATGGGAGCTTCGTAGACCTTCGCAATTCCAGCTTTGGCGTCGATTCGCGTCGATTAGCGTCTGGGAGTCGACGAGATGGCGCCGACTCGGCGTCGGGTAGCGCTGATTGGCGTCGATTTGGCGTCGATCCAGCGTCGAGTTAGCGTCGATGTGGCGTCGACGAGCGTCGATGAGCGTCGATTCGCAAGAGCCAGCAAGATGGTATGGGAGGCTCCCACGACTTGCCGCAGAACCCTCCTGCCCGCCGCCCCACAAAATAGCCGGTCCTCGCGGCGGGCTCCATTGTTCACCTCCTGCCCGCCAGACAAGACCAGCGCTGGAAGCGCCGCCGGCGCAACCCCGTCTTCTCGTCGTCGTCGTGGTGGTCGTCGTGGTGGTCGTCGGCGTGGTCGTCGGCGTTGTGTCATGGTCGTGGTCGTGGTCACCAATGCCGTCGCCCGCGCCGACGCCGTCGCCGTCGCCGTCGCTGTCGCTGACGTCATCGTCGTCGTCGTCGTCGTCGTCGTCGTCGTGGTCGTGGTCGTCGTCGTCGTCGTCGTCGTCGTCGTCGTCGTCGTCGTCGTCGTCGTGGTCGTTGTCGTTGTCGTGGTCGTGGTCGTTGTCGTGGTCGTTGCCGTGGTCGTGGTCGTGGTCGTGGTCGTGGTCGTGGTCGTCGTGGTCGTTCGAGGATCGAGGATTGATGAGATTCGCCTCCTTTCCGCAGCTTTGGGGCCTCGAGAGTATCTGGGGAATCCTCAGGGGACTTTAGGGATCTTGGGAGAATCGTCGTCGTCGTCGTCGTCGTCGTCGTCGTCGTCGTCGTCGTCGTCGTCGTCGTCGTTGTCGGTCCTCGTCGTCGTCGTCGTCGTCGTCGTCGTCGTCGTCCGTCGTCGTCGTCGTCGTCGTCGTCGCCGTCGTCGTCGTCGTCGTCGTCGCCGTCGTCGCCGCGGCTCGCCGCTGCCGCCCGCCGCCGCGGCTCGCCGCCTCGGTCCGCCGCCGCTGCCCTCGCCGCCGCCGGCGTAGCCTAGGAGCCTTCCGCAGCCAATTTGGTTCCGAGGCCTCCGCGTCCTCTGCTGGAGCTCCACCGCGCCAGATCGCGCACGGCACCCACCAGGCGTCGCCATGGCCCAGGCAGGGCCGCCCACGATTCGATGCGATGCGATTGGATGCGCCAGCGGGGGCCGCGATTCTGCTTCGGTTCGACTCGGTCCGTTTCAGCAGCATCGGCTGGTGCCAACCAGAGCCTGGCGTGGCGATCCGATTTCGATCCGACTCGGGACGATTCGCTGGCGATCCGATCAGTTTCCGATCGGCGTCACCCCAACAAACTAGTACTTATGTGTGCGTCGCCCCCCCAGGGGCGACGCGCGCACCGAGAACTCTTGCAGAATATGCGTCGCGGCGGGCGCTTTCTGGCCACACCGCTCGGGAGACGATCTGCTGCAAGATGGGAGCGCCAGCATGCCGCTGCTCGTCCCCTCCGGTCTCGGCTCGATCCAGCTCTCCGTGCCTGCCAGGTCGCGAGGACCGCCACCGAGCCCGGCGTGGGCGGCGCCGCGAGGGCGCGGCCGCCCGCGGCCTGCACCGAGCTGGAGATCATGGACGACGCCGAGCGCGAGGAGTGGCAGGGGCAGATGGAGGCGCGCCCTCGGCCCACCTGCGGATGCCTAGCTGCCCCTGCGGGCACGGTCCCGAGGCAGGGATTTATCCATACCCCCCGCCTCAGGAGGGGGCACATCTGCGCACTGTTGTGCACTTTTGCGCACTTTGTGCTTGAGAGAAGGCTCCCATCGCTTTCATTCTAACGCCTGGAGGATCGATCTCCGCGGACCTCCACGGGCGGTGGGTATGATACGGACGTATTCGGGCCCCTGGGGGCCCCTGGGGGCAGGTGGAGGCGCTGCCTCGGCCCACACGCGCAGTCCGAAGAAGAAACCACGGCAGAAACCCTTGGCGCTCCGCGCGGGCCTCCGGCGCCGCCCCTGGCGCCGCCCCCGCGCGCCAGGGAGGGGGGCCCGGCGCAGATCCAAGACGTCCGCGCGGAGCGCCAGGAGCTCCTGTCTGTGCCGTTATGCCCCTGCGGGCACGGTCGGCGCCGGGCCCTTTCGGGGGCCTGCTTGGCCGCAGGCCTCCCTCGAGCTCCGAGCCCTCGCCCGCGTGCTCGGAGGCCTCGCCCGCAGGGGCGGGGCCCGCCCGCGGCCGCCCAGGTGCGCAACACGTTCCTCCACGGCCGCCTGGCTCGCTCGCCGTCCCTCGAGGCGTTCTACCGGGAGCGCGAGGTCCACCGGGCGGCGGCGACTGCACACCGACACCGACCGGCGGCGAGGCCCACGTCTCGGCGGCGAGCGAGGGGGGGAAGCTCGGGCGA